CCTTGACGCATCGCGGGAGAGAGAGAGAGAGACAGAGAGAAATCAGGGCGAAAAACCAGATGACCCTACCCTTCAGAATCGCCTCCCTCTGACCATGACCGACGACGACAACGACGACGTCGACAATGGCGACGACGTGTGCAAGGACGTACAAGTTTTCACGTACAAGTGGCCTTCCCGTAACCTACAAAACTTTGCCAATCGGTACCAGTTCTGACCTTATCATTAGGTAACTAGTACGCAATCGCGTTCTTTCGCGCTGACCAACTTGCAGTCTCACGTTTGCCAATCTTCCGATCCTTTTCAGGTTGCGGTTTCTTATCCCGCGAAACAAAGTGAGAGACTTCACAATAACAGACAATTTTCGTTCAACTCGTCGTTCGATATTTCCTCGACGGAACGATAATAATGTAAGTTCGTGTTGAAACAGCTAAGGAGAGTTTTTAAATCTCTTGAAAATGCGATTTTTACCACTAATATGGCGGCAGCAGGCACACCCGGCCTGAGAATGAACTGTTGATGCTTTGTTTATTATTGTACAATGTTGCTGCCTATCGTTTGGCAGCGTCGATGGAAACGCGTCGTCTCGGAGACGTCTGCTGCTGAACTCGTGCGAGTTCACCTTTCGCCGACATTTTCTGCTTGCCATTTAAATTCGTTCATGTGACGCATACGATCGCAGCTTTATATACCGCAGCGTGGTCGAAATTGCACGTCGTTGCCGTCGTCTTCGTTGTCGCCACCGGCAACGACGACGACGACGACGACGACGGTCGACGTCCAAGGCTGTATCGGCGAATAAACACGCGTGACAGTTTAGACAAGTGAGTAGCAGGTGCGCAGTCGGATATCTTCACGGCGAAATCCTTTCCTACCCTTATCTTCGGTTGTTTACGAAGCGGACACACAACGATGAACACAGCCGAGAAAAGACAACACAGCCGAATTCGGAAAGCTCGAGACAACAGCTTGGAAAGCTGTTTGTTGCCACAAGACACTGTGCGTAAACTGTTATTCATCGGGTGAGAGAGTCTCTCCGGGGAGGTAATTTCTCGAAATATAATTTCTACGAAGCAGCGGAAAGAGAGAACAAGAACGTTTTGCGTGAAAACAATCTGGAAATCGTGCGAGACAATAATCCCCGCACAGACATCTCAGAAATATCGCCAAAGTTTGCGTGACCGTTGGAGACCCGACGGCAGAATCGTCGCGGAATACCTATCGCTTTCCGAATATTTCTGCCGGATTTATAAAGAAGCCGGGGGAGGGGGGAGCTATATCGAGCTCTCTCGACCGTACTCTCTCGACAAACATAGAAAACTCTCTCGAAAATAGTCGCGGCTAATTTTACGAAAGATATCGAACGAAAGAGAGACAGCGCCGGCACTCGTAATAATCCGCGACGCAAAATCGTGCGTTACGTTTGAACAGACGGGGCAGGTCTTTACGAGCGACCAGGTCGGAGGAAGCTAATTAATTCACTTCCACAAACGTCGCGTTAATCTAGGAGAGCGACACCTGCATATTTCATGAAGACCATTACACGCACACGGGACACTTTGTCTCGAAGATGACACACAGGGTCACACTGCGAAGATCGATGATCCCATGAAGCGCGGGGCCGCTACGCGTCGACGAAACATTTGGTTCTCGACATCGATCGCGGTCTCGGCGGTTCCGAGTTCCGCGAGTTGCCGCGCGATGAAAGCTGCAGGAAAAAAAAAAAAAAGAAGGAAAAGAAAATAATCCGCAATGCAAATTAGCCGACGTCGTGACCGGTTTGTCGAATCTTGGATTGCGGCTCGAAGTCGATCCCGCATCTGAAAAATGCGAAACATGCGGGGCATTCCCTGCTGCTCTACGGAGTATTTACGCGCGAACGCAAGCACGAATTGTCGCTCGTCGTCGCGACGAGAGAATTCGCTCGTGAAAAGGAAAGAGAGAGAGAGAGAAAGAGAGAGAGAGAGAACAAAAGACAGAAATCAATGGCAGATCTCGACCAAGACTAATACCTTCCGGGAATGGCTCGGGCTTATCGCCCGCTATCTCATAGATATTTCTCTTCAGACGCAAGCAAACGAAAAAATACAGCGTGATGCGAGATGCGGTGTTCTCCGACACGTACAAAACAGTTGGAACGCACACACGGAAAATCTTGTCGTGCGATAAAAACATGGTGTACAGTAGAGATTAAAATTGCCAGGTGTCGCGATAATTGGAAGAAATCTCGCAATACTACCACCACCACCCGTCACTCTATATCAACGAAAGCGCAAATTTTATTCATCGAATAAAGAATTACCGAATCACCTTGCAGAAGCGGGACGTTAAAATACGGAAAACGCAAAGTCGTTGCCGAGTCGTCGATCATTCGTGACAGAAACGTGACTCTCTGCCAAAACTGGAAGCTAATCCGGCACCGTCGAACCGTGCTGTTTCGCCGAAAAGTCACAGCGACGACGAATCTTCCTCCCTCTTTCTTTCTTTCTCTCTCGACAGAGGCTCCCCGTGGAACGCGCGACTTGCGTAAGAACGATCGATCCTCCAATAATGCGCGCTCTCGCGAATTCTATGCCCGACACAAATAGTTTTATCGGATTATTGACCTTCGTTGTACACACTGACGGAGTAGGTGAATCTATTAACGGTGAATAGCCGCGATTGTTCGCGAGGCGTGCCTGACACGAAAGATAAGCCAGCCGCGCGCGCGCGCGCACGGATCAAACCGGTCGTCGTCGGCACTTTTATTGACAAATCGTTGGCCTCCTGATTCGCGCAATAAGCAACGTTACGGCCAGCCAGCCAGCGAGCGAGCAAGTCACCGCCGCGCGATGCATTCGTCATTGATTCGGCCGCGAAATTGTTTTCCTCGTGCGACGCCGCGCGCTGCAATTGCGCGCAATTAACCGGCCGCTGACGACGAGAGTTTCGAGGCGCGCCGCGCCGCGAGCGAGCGTTCGCAAATAAGTGCCGCGCCGCGCCGCGTTACGTAATTGCGCTCCACTATCGCGGAATTATCATCGTCTTCGCTAATCGCGAAAGCACGCGTCGGCCTCCTCGGCGAGAATAAGAAGGCGCAGCCATGATCAATTTCGACTCGAGAAGAAGCCCGTCCCCCGCTCGGGCCGGAATTCTTTTTAATCCGACGTTTCGTTTCTTTTCCACTTTTCGAGCGTGCGTGATAAACACGAGACGCTTATCTACACCGCGATGACGCCACGAGGTATGCATGCGCCCGTGGCATCGGGAAAAAGATCTCCGCTATCTCGAACCGAAGGCACCAACAAGGAGAGTTCGACGCAGTATCGCTGCAGGAACCCCGATGGCTTACAGAGCGCGAGCCTGAACTCTCTCGAAGCTTGGAAAACAACCGGCGGACGAGGTTCCCGATTTGCCTGCAAATGATGGCTCGTGTGTTCGCTCGCTCGGAGGAACAAAGTTGGGTCACGGATCGATATTGCACGGTGGGGCACTTAAGGGACCATCCGCGTAACCCGGCTTGTTCGAGCGCCGCGCGATCAGCTCGAGGAGAGAGATCGTCGCGACGAAGCCGCGCTCAAAGTGCCGATGCACAGGATGCTTCACGAGTCGGGCGTGACCTTTCGGAGACGGGGGATCCTTGGTCGAGAGACGTCGCGAGTCGTGGAATTCATCTCCGTAACGTTTCACACGCGCGCGCAAAAAGTAAAATCGCCGAGGAAAAAGCGAGCGCGTGTGCGGCAGCATTGTAAACGCATTGTAAAGCCGCGCGACGTCGCGCGGGCAAAAGTGAAAACACTTCGAGGGCGTTCTTCACACGCGTGTCATATCGTTGTTGATGCGATCGACGACGCCAGTTGTAGCGATAAGACGCGCATAATCGCGCTTGTCGCAGTTCGCCGACGACAACGCCGCCGTCTTCTAATCTAACGCGCGCGCGAGCGTTTGTTTGACTTTCTTTTAGCGTGGATTAAAAAGTTTACGAGATAGCGAAGTGTGTATTTGGGTTCTGAGGAGATGTCGTCGCGCATACGCCGTTGCGAATAACAAGTCGTTGCAAGTCTGTCTCTTCTCGTCGCGGCGTGTGAAGCTTCTCGTAATTATCGCTCGATAATTACGACTTGCGTTAAACCGTTAGGCGTGATGAATTTCGCGCGCACAGCGCGATCACAAGCCTGACTGAGGCGGAGAGAGAGAGAGAGAGAGAGAGAGAAAAAGAGGGGGAGGCAGAGATAATCGCGATTTCTAAGGAGATTCGCGCGACAGTTGGTAACGGGGCATTGCGGCGAAATAGATTTGATTAAACGCGAGCAAAGCGTGGGAGCACATCCTCTGGCCCGGATGCTCGTGAAATTCTACCGTCTGCGCGACCGGTTCCATTAGCGTGAATCAAAGTTTAAGGCCCCTTTCTACTGCAGGCTCTCGAGGCCGAACGGCGCCGTGCGTGTCGGCTCTCTCGGTGGCTGAGTAAATTTTCTTTATCCGCCTCAGCATCTGGACTTGCGAGCGGAACAGTCGTGCGATTCGCACGGCCCGCCACCTTTCGGCCGCAACAAATCGCCTCGCGAGGGTTATCGCGCCGCGGTGCAACCATTCATCGTTGCACAGAACGAGAATGTGTTCGTTGCTCAAGGGACTCTGAATTGCAGATTCGTCGAGATGCGATCGCGCGGACGCACGTCGGGGAGGGATTTCAGCTCGGCTGAAATCACACGCGCCGCCGCCTGATCACGCTTAGGGAGCGTATCTCGAAGGAGCGAGCGGGGTGTCTAAGGTAAGCGGTGTCGCGCTAATCGAAGCGCAGAGTAACCGCAAGATAAACGCAGCCCGATTCTCGGTCGCACCTACGTGACGACCTTCTCGTCGTCACGGCTGAGGGCCACTTAGCAGCTAATTCGGCACTGAACTTGCAACTATTTTAGACTCAATTTGCGAGAACCAGCGCGTTCTCTCTCTCTCTCTCTCTCTCTCTTAGCCAAGTTACACGAGGAGGATGTACGCCTCTCGACGAGCGGGAGATATTCGAAAAGAGCAATGATATCGCCGCGCCGCGGCGTGTCAAAATGGATCCACTCAGGTCGCCGCGCTGAGACACACGGGGGGCTGCACAGGGCGCGTTTTGCGGCCTCTCGGTGATTCGCAGAGCATCGAGTGGATGAACCGCGGCAAACCCAAGCTAGCTCTCATCAGAGACATTCGGTGCCGACCGTTGCCGAGGGGCTGCCTTTTACCGCACCGTGAACCCTCCCCGTCCCTCCTTTTGGTCGAGCCGCTCTTTCACAATGATCCGCTCCCCATCTCGCTCGTGTTCTCTCTCTCTCTCTCTCTTCCCCCCCTCTTCCCCGACTCCCCAGGCTCGTCGCTCCCTCTCGCTTGTGCGCCTTGCGTCGCTCTAGTTCCTCCCGTTCACCCTGCTCGTCGTCTCGAGCGGCTCGGCCGGCCTGTCGACTAGGTCTGCGTCGGCGCCGATGGCTGGGGGACTCGGCGGCGTTGCCGCTTCGGACGAAGCGGCGGTCGCCACGAGGAGAGAGTCCGCGGCAGAGTCGTCCGGATCTCCGGCACAGTCGCTTTTTGCTTTTGACGCGCAGCGGCCGACGCGGCCGGTCGCCGGAGCGCGATATGCACGAGCGTGTCATGTGACACGCGTGACAAGTGGTGCGCGCCGCGGCGTTGCTGCACGACGCGACACGGATAGGCGGCTTTCGGTGGAAATATAAAGGGGGGGAAGGAGAGAGAGAGAGAGAGAGAGAGAGAGAGAGAGAGAGAGAGAGAGAGAGAGAGAGAGAGAGAGAGAGAGAGAGAGAGAGAGAGAGAGAGAGAGAGAAGGAAAAGAGATAGATACACAGCAGAGACACAGAAAGAGCGAGACTGGGGAAGAGAGAAAGAGAGGAGAGAGGTGAAGGGTGCGCTGCGAAAGAAAATAAACGCGTGTTGCGTGCGTGTGTGAGAAAGCCATCGGTGCCGGCTTCACCGCGGCGGACTGGTATTCCCCCGCGATTTCGTACGGTGCTCCTCGTGTAGTACCGTAGGCGCAATTATGTTACCGGTGCGACGCGGCGACGGCACCGACGGACGACACGCCGATAGCACCACCATCATCATCAGCATCCTCGCACCTTCGCCCGCTACCCTCAACGTCAGCCACAATGTCAGCGGGAGGCTCGAGACGCGCTGCGTGAGGAGGCACCGTGGCGGTTTCCTCGCGAACGGTTAGAACCTTCTGTCCGACGGACCACTCCTCGCGTTGTGTGTTACCCGTCTCGCTTTTGCTCTCCGAAGCGAGATACTCGCTCGGGCTTGCCTGCGGGGAACAAGTTCGTGGCTCTCGGTAGGTAGGTAGTAGACGCGAGTAGAGAAGTGAAACCGTGGGAAAAGTCTCTTTCTCTCTTGGTTTGGCTTCTCTCGAACGGAAGTTGACGGGGACCCGGCCGCGAGAGCTGACACGGACAGGGGTGCGACGGCGTTTTCGAGAACACGTGCTCGCGTTTCAGTTTCGGTCGATCGTGCCAGATTATAGCAGCAAGCAGCAGCAGTGCGAAGTAAAAAGCGTGTAGAGTTCGAAAAGAGCGATCGAGCGACGCAGTCGAAGAAGAGAGAGAGAGAGAGAGTGTGCGGTTGTCCAAATCGAGCAAGTTCGCCATCCGCGAGGAGAAAAGTCCACCCCCGTGAGGACATGGGAGATCGCTGTCGTTGTATCCGTGCAAATCATCATATTACAGGTTTTAGGAATGCGGGAGCGGACGGTGGTGGCGAGAGGTTCGCGCTGGTGGTTGGTCTTTCTTCTGGTCGCGGTGGTGGTCGTGCGAGTCGCGGGTGCGCCTTCGGACACGCTGCCGTCGTCGTCATCGTCGTCGTCGTCGGCCACATCGTCGCGAGTACAATGTCCGGGTGGGTGCGAGTGTACAGACAGCAGCAGCAGCAGCAGCAGCAACAACAACAACGACGACGGCAGTCTGGTGTGCGCAGAACGCAGTTTCTTCGGCCTCGGTTTACCGAGGGACGCTACGAGCGTGTCACTGAGAAATGTCCGAGCGGCTGCGATCTCGGTGGCCGCGTTAGAGACGTCTGCGAAGCTGCGGAGCCTGCAGTGGACGTCGAGCGGCATCGAGAGGGTCGAGCCGGGTGTGTTCCGGATTACCGTGCATCTCGAGCGGCTCGATCTAGGTGATAATCAACTGGCCGAGCTACCGTCGGACGTCTTCCATCCGTTGCACCAACTCCAGTACCTGAACCTCACCGGGAACAGGCTGGTCGCGCTACCACGGCCCTTGTTTCACGGTTTGGACCGCCTTCAGGAGATCCGTCTGGCGGCGAATCGGCTCTCCGTACTGCCCTATCAGGCGTTCGCCCCCGCCAGGGAGCTCGCGCGGCTCGATCTCAGCGGTAACCTGTTGGTCTCACTGCCGGATCATAGTTTCCGGCTGAACGAACAGCTGCAGGAGCTACGACTGGCCGGCAATCGGCTGACGAAGCTACCGTCGCGACTGTTCTCCGGCTTGGCGCGGCTCAAGGCGCTCGACCTCGCCGCCAACGAGATCGACGCGCTGCCGCGCGGCCTCTTCAACGAGCTTACGGCCTTGGAGCACCTCGACCTCGAGGGTAATCCGATCACGCGTCTGTCGGACGTCGCGTTTCAAGGCCTGACCGGTCTACGATGGCTCAGTCTGAGTCGCCTGCCGATCGCGTCGCTACCCAAAGACCTGTGGCGACCCGTCAGCAGACTGAGGACTCTGCTGTTATCCGGGACCAAACTGGAGAACCTCCGGAATGAGAATCTAGCGGGTCTGAGCGAGCTGGAGACGCTGGAGATGAGAGACAGCCCTCTACGCGAGATCGGCCAGCTGACGTTGAACGAGACACCGTCCCTACGCCGGCTCGACTTGCGAAACAACGACCTGGCGTTCCTACCGGCGAACGTCGCGCATCTCTCGCTGCTGGGCGAGCTGCAGCTGCAGGGTAATCCGTGGGCATGCGACTGCCGCATGTTTTGGTTCGTCAAGTGGGCCGAGAGCAGGACGCATCTGCGCGCGGCTTTCCAAAGCGGACTCAAGTGCGGCCACGAGGTGGACGACGCCGAAGTGGACATTTTTCACACCCTCGGCTACCTCAACTGCAGTGCGCCCACCTTGGTCAGGGCCACCAGCACTCAGCAGTATCTGCTGCTGAGCTCGGTGTTGCTCGAGTGTGAATTCAACGGGAATCCCGCACCGTCGTTGACCTGGGTGACGCCGAACGGCTTGGTCTTCCACTGGATGCCGGATCCGGGCTTCCCCGACGCTTTCGTCGAGCACCCGCCGGTGCACAGTTGGCTGCCGAATCCCCCGCCGATCGACGGCCGTATACGCATCCTGGAGAACGGCTCGCTCTACATCACAATGTTGCTGCGGGAGGACGTGGGTCTGTACAAGTGTACGGCGGACAGTCCGATCGGCAACCACACCGCCTACGTGACGCTGCATATGGACCCAGTGACTTTGCACAACATCAAGATCCTCAGCATCGTCGTGGGTGCGATCAGCGCGACGGCGTTCCTCCTGCTGACGTTGTTCCTGCAGTTGCTGCGGTACGTCTTCTTCAGGTGAGTATTGTGGGGGAGTGGGGACGCGTAGTGTGCCAACTTGGCACGTCTCGAATCGACTCGTGTCGGTGTGCATGTATTGTCGACCAGTAACAGCCGTTAATAGTTTGCCGAGTGACAGTAACCGGACTCGTCAAGCGCGTCAACTTTGTGTGCCGAGCAAACTTGTCTGTCGGAAGGTCAGGCGCGCGCGATCGATCGACTCCACCGACTACTGACGATTCCACGCTTTCTTCCTTCCGCTCCTCTCTTCCGCGTCTTTCCTTTCTCTCTCATTCCCACTGCAATCACTAATGTTTCTATGAATTTCTCACAGGTGCGGATGCATCAAATGGTGCTTGTGCTGTAGACGCGTAGGGGTGACGCCGAGGGCGAAGCAGATCTACCAGATGCTCGACAACATCGAGCAGTACAAGAGCCAGCAGCTCGAGCGGCTGAGGGAGAACTACACGCAGCAGGTGCATAGAATCAAGGACAATTGCGCCCAGCAAGTGGAGTGGATCCGCGACAGCTACGAGGGTCAGATGAGGCACATACGGGACATACGGGACTACGGTACCAGTCATTTGACCGCGCTGAGAGACCAATATTACGATCAGGTAATATGTCTTCCGCGCAGAACTGCTAATCTCCTTGCTCGAGCGAGCCCGAGTCTTCGTTATCGGGAACGCGTTCGCGATGATCTACTTGGTATCGTTCCAACGCGCCAAATTGTTGCGTGCGCGAGGTAGAAAAGTACGGTTTCACGGTGCACGTGTATATCAGCGGCGGTTTGATCTCGATGATATCAGGGGAAAGCAAAGTCGGAGACGCGATAAAGTCGAACGGCCCGGATATCGTCGCGATGGGAGATTACGCGACGCCAATTATCCCGTGAACGTGACAGATACGCATCTAGACGCGTCTATTTTGTTTCGCTTCCTCGCAGGTGAAGAGGGTGCGTGACTACTCCACCAGCCAACTGAACTGGGTGCGCGAGAATTACGTCTTCCAACGCAACAAGATCCGCAAGTTCAGCGCTCACCAGGTGTTGCGGTTGCGTGAGAGTTACAAGTACCAGCAACAGACGCTGAACAAGGTGCTGGAGAATCTGCCGAATCTGTACTTCGACAACTGCCGGAGTGGTTCGTGCGGCAAGAGCGACTCCATGGTCTTTGATCCCACCAAGGACGATCTCAACGGGATGGACACTTACTTCAAGGCGAAGACGATCGACGACCTGGCGGCGGGCCCGAGTCAAGAAGACGTTAACAGCGAGTACTACACACCGACGGAGCTGTCCTCGACCAGCCCGCATGGTCAAAATGTGATAGAAGGTATTCACATAAACTACATCGAAGAAAGCTGCCCGCCGCCACCTCCAGCGCCCACGATTCTGCCCGCGTCGACGGTGCTGCAATGCATCAACGAGTACGGCGACAGCGCGTTGTCCTTGCGCAAGAACTACGAGAACATGTCGGTCTTCAAAGGCTCCGGCACGGAGATTCTGGCCAAGGAACCTCGACACATCTCGGAGGCCTTGGGACTTTTAGCACCTAGCAACAGTCTACCTGATCTTCCATGTGAGACCAAACTCTAGCCGACAACGAGGTCGAGGCGAAGTATCGAAAGAACGAGAGGCCAAGAATGGATTCCTGTTATCGTTTAGGTCTCAGTTTATAAGAAATAGAGAGAGAGAGAGAGAGAGAAAGAGAGAGAGAGAGAGAGAAAGAGAGAGAGACTGTTCTGAGATAATGGACAAGGTCAGGGGAACAAGAAAAGCTAGCATCACGCTAGCCTCCATGTCCGGTAATCGTGGGAATTGTGTCTTCGAGGTACCCAATGGAACAAGAGGAGGAGGAGGAGGAGGAGCAAGAAGAGAAAGAGACGGTACCAACTGAAGCTTCTTCCGATTTTCACGTACGACTCGACGTCGCTGGAGTACCCTACAGGATCATTCGAGAAGAACTCGTGTCAGTGCCAAGAAGAGGGTCGGGAGATCATTCTGCCAAGATCGATGACTCCATGTCGATCGCAGTGTGTGCATGTGTTAACTTTAGGAGAACAAAAAAAATTACGGACAGTTTCCAAGGGGTGGACTGGGGTCGGTCTATCCGACCGGTCGGCAACCTTGCAATCTGTCCGTCTCGCCGCAATGTGTGCTTCTTTGTCGGTGTCATCGTTTTTGGATGATCACTCGAAAAAAGATGGGATGAAAGTGGGAAATGGAAAAGAAATGAAACACGAAGAAGAAAGAGGGAGTAAGGACGAAGCGCGAGTTGCAATTCGCGCCTTCGTCAATTTGGCTGCAAAAACAAATTTCCTTTTACACATACGCGACACGGAGAAAGATAAGTAATTTCGCCTAGCTGTCAATTCCGCGACTCTCGTTAAAAAAAAAAAAAAAAAAAAAAAATAAGGAAGATTGCGACTTTCCGAGGAGAGAGTCGCAATTTCTTAATTCTCACTGTAAATAGGCGCGCGCGAAGTTTGATGTATCAGTGCCCGCGAGAAGGAAAAGGCAGATATACAGGTCGGATTCTCTTTCACGAAAGACTGAGGCAGCGGAATCGTTTCGCCCGATCGTTCGTTTTACAAGTTTGCACTCTTCTTCGTCTTGATTTCCTCCTCGCGAGTAAGCGAACGCGCTGACGAATCTCTTCGGCGAGAACATACACCTCGTGATTGCTGCCGTTCGCTTTTGCTCTCGAACTTTTTTTTATCGCTTGTGTTTAACGAAATGGATTCGCAAATTGTTCGACTATACAGAAGCGTATCTTTATCGAAGAAAGAGAGAAAACGAAAGAGAGAAGAAGAGGAAGACATACCGATATACCGAGAAGACGATATAACGAACGTACGTACTTAATTTTCTATCGTTGCACCAACATATCCAATCGTCCGCGCGCAGAGAAAAGAAAGTGACAAGAAAAAAGAAATTATATATATATATATATATATATATATACATACATATAATATATACATATATATATATATATTTCGGTTGTTAATATTTTCGAAACAACAAAGATATTGTATATGTACATTTCCGATCGCAATGAACCGCTCCAATACGTTTTGCAACAATGCGCTCCCCTTTGTTGAATAAATCCAGTGACGATACGTCGCCAAATACATCTGCACACATCTTAATTCCCATCCAGATTCCACCTCGCGCTGTATCAGACCCTCGGAGAGACAGAGAAGAGACAGAGAGAGAGGGAGAGAGAGAGAGAGAGAGAGATAAATAGAAAGGATACGTCAAAGACTCGATCGAGCCAGTTCGGCGGCGATCATCTCCTTTAGACACGTGCGCGTGCAAAGTGGAAGGAATTAGACCTAGCAACCGCGCCAACGAGCAACGAGAGCGAAGTGCACTGGACGATCCTCGCGCAGTTATATCGTCCGCCGACTCGAGAGAGAGAGAGAGAGAGAGAGAGAGATCAATTAACGCGGACTCTGATCGCTCGACGACCGGCGTGCTGCTATCCTCACGACGTCGCTCGGCCTCCGCGAGGATGGGAGCGCGAGTCGAGGGGTCAAGGGTGAGAAGAGGGCGGACACCGAATCTGTCGGATGCGGCGGCTGCCGTCGCGTTCGAACTCGGTTCTCGCTCGCGCTCTCCTCGGGATCGATCAATTGTCCGTCAGACGAGCAGACAAGCAGCTCTCGTGTCGTGCAGGAGGCCGAACGTGATTCACGGAAAGGGCAAATACCGCATGATACCGATCCAGTTGAACGACGTCAATCGTTCGGGAACGTCTGAGTCACAGCAGTCGCGGTGCTGTCGCATCGCGACCGGAACCGTGACGGGACGGGAAAAGGAGAGCGCGGCCGAAAGAGCGTCGCTGTTATTTTTGGATCGCATCGCAGCGCCGTTGTGCGCGGAGATAAAGTTTTATCGTGGCTGATTCCGTAAACGGAGGAGGAAGGAATCTCGCTGCGTAACGGGAATGTGAGAGACAAGAGAATTCATTGTAACCATGGGGGAAAAGCGTGCGGTCGATTGGCCGATCGGTCGGTCGGCTTCGTAGCTCCGTTATGGGAAACTGACAATAAATCGCGGTGGCGAAACGCGCGCGCTGCGTTCTTCGTGAAAAAGCTGCGCGGGCTGAAGCCGGAGAAAGTGGGATCGATAGCGGATCGTCGTCGGATTGAAATCCGACGAAACGCGCAGTCGGAGTGTTTCCTCGGCGGAAAGTGTCCGGATGTACAGGCTTTGATACTGCCGAGTAAGGCTCGAGAGCGTCGGGCCGACGACGAAGAGACACACGATCTCGTTCGAGCGATCCTTCGCGCGAGCGATCGCCGAGCTCCGCCTAAAAGTAAACGTGTACACCGCTCGTTACACGTGGACACGCTGTAATTATAACGTGGGGACACGTGGTCGTCGGCGTGTGGGTCCCGCGCGCCTAGTCGGCCAGAGCCGGCGGAAAACACGTGGAATTATTAACGCGAGACGCAGAGAGGGACTCTTCCCGCTGGAATTGTGTTGGCGATGCGCAAACACGAAATTAGAGTACGCGCGCTGCGGTGGAAACACGAGCGAGCCGTAAGAGCACACCAGATGCGTCGTCGCTCAGGAGTGTCGATTTTCAGCGCAGATTTTACGAAGAGAATTTCTACTTCGAGCTTTTTCCCCTGTACGGATATATCTCGCTCCGAAAAATCGGAAAAATCGAACGGTCGGAACTGAACGGAAAAAGAAGTCTATATCCCGAAAATACGAGGAATGACTTCTCGTTTCGCGTTTCATTAGCGCTGCGTTTTTACCCTGTTTTTTTTTTTTTTTTGTAGATTTATCTTTGTGCGCGGAAGCTTTGTTCCGGCTATTGATATAACAGAACAATAATAGAACGCGAAATAGAACGTCACGGGCAACAGAATGCCCTCGGTACGGCTGTATTAGCAGCGTTAGTTACCGAACGTTTTAGAATTTTTTTTTCTTTTTTTTTTCGAAAAATACGAGTCTCGCGATATAGCGTGAGCTGAGATCCTTGCGACGAGCCGTCGTCGATCAAACAGAATGGTTCGTTTCGAAGTGACTCAATCGGCATAATAATTAAACTTCGAATCGACTATCAGAGAGGGACAATTAACGCTAATTAATGTTAATGAGGTAGCAGCGCCTTGCGACTTTAAAATAAAAACGCACGATCTACAGCGGCCTATATTATCGTGCAGCTGTCGGCGAGAATCGGTTATCTGCACATTTCTCGAAAACTAACCTTCGCTATCGATTCGCAGGTCGTTTTTTCAGGCGAAACCCTGTGTGTTCCGGTAACCGTAGATGCGAATCGGAATTCGCGGCGCGGCTATACAAACAGCGCAATCGACCAGCCTCTGATCGTACCTCCGGTCTCACAAAGCGACGCTCGCGCACATCATATCAGCGTTGTTCACATCGCGCTGTTCTCTCGCCTAATTTGTACTTTGAGCCGACTGGGGTAGCTACAAACAGCAACGTACACGCTTCGTACCGCGAAATTAATTCGCGACTTTATTCAAGGTATTAACAGAGCTATAAAGACCCGCGATTACGCGATCAACCCCGCGACATTGGAACGAATAAACTCCACGTGATAATTGCACACGATACACGAACAGAAATTTCACGTTTACGGTAAGAGAAGGTGCTGACCTCGTGCTGACGTCGAAGCGGAAGTCGCCTTCCCTCCATCAGATACGCTATCCTCGGTCGGTTATCCGCTACGATAACGAGACGGTGATTGAATAATAAAAATGCGAAAGATGATATTTTTCGAGTCTCGAGAAAATGTAGCGATCGATCTGCCGTGGGAGAGAAACCGGAATGTGGATAAGTTCTTCGCGATCGGCAAGCCGACTTCACGGTTTTCAAGCGAACTTTATCCATTTAGCTTCTGCAAAGCCAACTATCGGGTCCTGTGCAATAAAACGCTGTAATCGCTGTATGTAACCACTCTCAAATTATAGTTACCCCAATCGTTACTGTTCCGCTACATTCGAACAGTCGACAAACAGCAGAAGTTCGGCAAGTATCGCTTGGAAGCATCGCCCTGCGCTATTAGAGCTCGATAGTTTAGCGCCCGCAATTTGTACAATTTCGCCAACGGGAGAATAATTACCGAGATGCGATCGACGTGCGTCGAATGAATGTCCGGAATAAATCGTTGGATTTCGACTTCGTCGTCACTTCGACACGTAAGATTCTGTGTTCTCTACTCGAAAGCGCCAATTACGACCTGCCGCAGAAGAAGCTCTATCTACTACCACCAGCCACTTCGATTGTGCGATAATCGGTGTCGCGTCTCACAGACGGGCCCTCCGGGCGCCATTTTCTTATTTGTTATACACGTAACTGTACACGTGTGATCACATACGCGAAAGTATACGAGGGAATAAAGTTCAACTGGTGCGCCTTTGGCCACGTGTTTCTACCTTGTTAGTTAAACGGGTATTACCTATCGGGCAACGAGATCTGCGCTCTAGAGAGTGGGTGAAACAGAAAAAAAGAGGGAAACCTGAAACCACTACGCTTAGAGAATAGTTTAAAGTACGCTAACGCGTGCTTGATGACATGGCACATCGAATCTTAGGCGAGAGAAAGAGAGAGAAAGAGAGAGAGAGAGAGAGAGAAAAGGAGAGAAGAGAGAGAGCCTTCCTCTCCTGTTCCTTCGTAGATCGAAAAGCTCGTACTTATGCTTCCAGCATGTATATTTTTTATACGACATCGTTTTCAACCGCGAAGCCTTAACGGAGGGATCGCGCGCACGCGTATGCGAACGAAATAGCGCGAACGCTAATCGCTGCCCGGTCGATTGACCGAGACGTGGGAGAAAAAAAAAGAAAAAAGAAAAAAAAAGAAGAAAAAATACAAAACGTTCAGAATTGCAAGAAACTACCTTTCAGGAGTGACTTTCGCGTTACGCGCAGTATATCACTCACGGACATGTACTGAAGAATTTGCTCCATCTACTTCTGTCTCGATATGTACACAACTCCGTGAAACAAGTCGTTCTCGGCGAAACTAAATACTACCGTAAGATGATCATTTTGTAGCAAAGATTTATACATGTATATATATATATATATATATATATATATATATATATATATATATATTGTAGTGCGTATGTGTCCCTTGTCTCTCTTCGTGATGTAACATTGAAGAGGCAATCTTATTTTTCTAAAATGCAACATGTCCTTAAACCACTAGCCATTCGTTCGGGACACCCTATATAATCTATCGACTATACTTTATCTGGCGTGTTTTCTTGCGAACACTGTGATTCGTGTGCTATTGAAGGAAAAGACAGCAATACGATTGTGAATTACCGATGTAGAGGGAAATTATGCGCGCGTGCGTTGTTTGAAAAATTATTATGTAATATATTATTGGATGTCGTTTTAGTCCGAGTAATTAGTTATAAGTCGCGCGAGCATAAACGAAATGCCCTCGGAGCGATTGTAAAAGTACCGATTAAAGCGTGCGTGCGCATGTTTTTATATAAATTTTAATTATCATATATCTCTAAATAAATATATAAGGTGTTCAAGAAAAAGGACTCCGGACTCACAGGATAGATAGACTTACACTGAGTAAAAAGTAACTTACTAAACATGGGTGGAAAAATTAAGCTTTTTAGAGCTCCAAACATTTCCTGATTTTAATAACGCAAATTATTCAGGCGCATCCATTGATCACGCGCGCAGAATAAACGAACGAGTGTTTTACCGCATTTTTATTTTGTTACTTGTTTGTATCTTGTTTGCAGTAAGTGTTCCACGCGTCCTCCTCTCATTTTTACGCACGCCTGACTTCTTCGAATCTTCGAATTACAGAATTACAGAACACTCTCAACATTTCCTGGTCTACCTCGAATCTGGCCAGCTGCATCTTGAATTCGCTGACGTGTATAATTCGTGTATATTATTTACAGGTGAAAAATAAATTAAACTTCTTATAAGCATCGAAGTATAATACGGTAAGATAATACGAAGTATAATACGGTAAGATGCTCGCCTCCATGCGCGTAATCACACAAAGAACTTGCGTTACCCAAATCGAAAAACGTTTATGATTTTGGAAAGTTCGATTTCTCGACCCATGTTTACTGAGCATTTTTTGCTCGGTACAATGAATACTATTTATCCTATGAGTCTGGAAACTTCTCTTGCACACTTTTTTGAATATTATAAGAAATACGTATATAAACTGTACGGGAGCGCGTGCGCGTGCTACGATAAAATTTCGTCGCGGGTCTTACGTAAGAAGACGCTTGCCAATCGTTCGTATCTGATAGGAATGTTAAAGTTATCGGCGCAACGTTAATTGTACACCGTAAGCACGGGAAGTTAGAGTCGCTCGTGCTGCGAATCGAAGGATCGACATTCGGAAAAACGCGTACCAAAGAAAGCAAGTCTGAGCGCGAAGAACTCGTCTTTCTTTCTTTCTTCTTTCCCCACGCTGTGAAGTGCTGTTTTCGCACTGTCGGGAGTGTGTGATCGATTCTGCCCGCTAGCGATATTTCATCGCGCCACCGCGAAAACGCCGTTTAAACAATACTTTTGGATGCGCTCCGCCATACAAGACCGCCACCTCTCAAAATTTCCACCGCCTAAACGTCGCCTAAAGGTTCCCTATTTTCTCATTCCGAGAGATGTTAACGGATATATCGGAAGAAACGATAAATCTATAACGGCCTTCAAGCCGCATTATCTCACACGTAAATTTGCGGATTGCAGAACGAGAAGAGTGGAGAAAACAGCACCGAGTCATATTGAGGTGCATCCACGCTCGCTTAGACTCGAGCATTGTGCGTTGGGAAATTGGTTGCGAAGAGAGAGAACGAGACAGAGAGAAAAAAGAGAGAGAGAGAAAAAGAAAGAGACAGACAGACAGACCGAGCAATCAAATCGTTTCGAAATATCGACCGACCGATGCGAAAGACCTGAAAAAACTATTTGTAATAGACGAGTCCATTTGTTTTGCGCAAAATTTGCCGCGTTGTTACTCTCAACCGAGATAGTGTGAATCTGCTCAAGTCTTAGACCATAGTTATTAAGTTAATAAATCTCATTGTTTATTGCAATACTCGCAATGACTTCAAGCACAACCACCCTCTACCCAATCTCCCAGTTTCTGCATGACGCGTAATGAGCTACACGCGCGAATGCGATGCATCGGATTTAGCGGACGTAATTGAGGAGGCAAGACAATCGCAATAAAATGGAATGTATTATTCTCATAATCAATTGAGAATAATACACGCAATCGCTATCGAACGCAAACGAGTTTATACACGACAATTCGCTCCGTTGCGCTCGTCTCTGTCAAGTATATATAAGTGAACGTATACAATCAGGTATACGTTATACAAGAGTCTATGACTTCGGAATATTGTTTTAACGTGAATAACAAACGCTCCTACGAGTGTTCGGTTGGTATCGATTAAAACTTTCCACGTGCGATCTTATCATTGAAGACATAAACAAAAAAAATATATATGTATATGTCGGTACATACCTTCTCCTGCGTCCGATTCCATACAATCACATTGTGACCGCTGTTGATCAAATTTTTCACAATTCCGCTACCCATGATACCGAGTCCGAGGAAACCGAATTTCAGGTTCGACGGCAGGATGTTCTTCTCTTTAAGAGTCTGTGACAGCGTTTCCACATCCAGGGGAGGCGTGACCTGTGGCAAAGCGTACAACGGTGTTATGGGAAGAACCCATAATTGGTGTGCATTCGACTGAGATTTAGTTGAACTGGGATAATGAGAATCTAATTTAATTGGAATAATTGGAATCTAGTAAAATAGAATTTTAATTAGATATTTGATGAGAAAAATGTCTATGGGAGAAATTGGGAAGTCGCGAAAAAATGTGTCCAAAATTTCGAATGAAAGAATATCTGCCTCAAATTCCCCTAAAATCCATAATTGTGGTAAAATTTTTGCTTTATAAGATCATACGTATATGTATTGAATTGCTCTAAAACTGCGATTTCAAAATATCGATACAATGGCTATCGAACTAGAAGAGATATGAGTTAAAATATTCCGCGTGAGAATAAAGTTCCTAATGTTAATATACATAACATGATTATTCGACATGTTTTATTCAGTACAGGTAAGGGTGTGGGACCAACAGGTGGCGACAAAGTTGTCGTACTAGTTACGGCACTGAGGCGCATCACTATGATATATATATGTATACCGGTGTGCTTCGCGTGTCGTCTGAGATTTTTGGTTCATAGTAATATTGTATCGTCATATATATTGAACGAATCTCAAACTCAGGCAATAGCACTTAGCGCTGAATATGCAATACGAGTCTGTTAAGTATTTAAAAGTGTACTCGTATTTTAGACAATGCACATAAAAGTTACACATCTGTGTATTGATGTCGAAATCAGGCTTGCGCGATACTCATCAATATTATTGTAGAATCATAATTGAAATATATTAATAATAAATGATAAAAAACCGATATATAAATAAATTCATTCTGTTGAAAGTAAGACATCGCTGCAATTACTTACAGGTCTGGCGATATTTGCTGGTCTGTTCAAAAGTGTCGAGCCCGATTTTCTCGGCGGAGTAGAGTGATTCAATGTAGGACTGATGCTTCCAACTCTATTGCTATTGCTGATACTTGAATCCCTACGCGGCTTTTTAGCGGGTCGACGAGCATCACCTGCACCACTGTCTAATCGCTTAGCTTTCGGCGTTTCCTGTGACAATAATTTTTCCATTGTACATATAGACATAATATGAAACATGACACTGACATTCTTAAAAATCGTTACAAACAGATGCGAGCTATATTTTGTCGCTAACCTTGCGTGGTTTCGGCGTTTTAGTGACACTTTTCTTCTCAGCAATTGTTTCTTCTTTAAGTCTGTCAAACAGAGAATCTGGATCCAAACCATCTTCAAACACCTGACACAATGAGATAAGGAACTTAATGATTTTTAACATCAGTAAAAATTATACATTTTAATTTTTAATTAATATGCATCATTTTGTGATCAAATCAAATAAAAAGAACATATGTATCTAATTACTAATTACTCGATTTTAGGTCAATTTTATATTTAATAATTATATTTTAAACATGATTTAAACAATACATGTGTAATTCTATTAAGAGACAATTATCGGATACAGATACAGAAAGGTGTAAAACTTACCTCGCCTTTTGCGATAAACTCCTCTATAGCTTCTACTGCATCTTTGAATGCATTTGATTTGCTAGATTTCACTAAAGTATCTTTAAACTCCTGGTATGGTTTAATGTGGGATTCTTCTATCCATGCGCTACAAAAGATACTTTATTGAAAAACACAGATCATAGTAATACTCTATGAGTACAATAAAACACCTGTAAATGGAACTTACTAGTTGTTTGTTCCAAAGAAGAAGATGCATTGTACTGGTCCCTTTTTGGTGTTAGCAGGCTTCTTTAAGTCCTTTGAAGGATTTGATACCTTTGCATGTCATCATAAAATTAATATAGAGCCTGATATATATTGTCATAATATAAAAATTGTAACACCTCTTAACATTTGATTTGTATCTCATCCTAACTTATACAATTTATGTATAAAATATTATAATAATATATAATTATATAAAAATGGAATGAGATAAACAAGAATGATGATCAAGATATTATTTGAAAATCAATTCTTATAATATTAACAATATATCTTATATATATATATATAATATATATATATATATAATAAAGATACATAAATATAAAAAAAAAAATGTAGCAATTTTTTCTTACAAGTCTTACATGATAAATTTTTAACATTTCTCTGCATCTATATATCTCCAAAATTTAAATTTAAAAAAATATCGATGTGTCTTATAATCGTATTTTTTTGTAAGATAATTTTATAATGCAGAATTTACATTAAGACAGAAACATCTTTAAATTGTGTGCTCGTATCTCCGATCTTCATACGGCCCTGCATAGCCGCCAACAGTTACCGCGTAAAGTTGCGAATACTTAGCTCATTTTGATTACACTTTCTACACTTTATTTCTTCTGTTTTTTTCTTGCGAAACTTGAAGATGTATCCTTTTAAAACACGGTTTTAAACGCGGAAACCATAATCAAGACAAACCGATCAAACCTAATCGAGATCCGCGATTTGCGCAATATAGTTCGATATCAGACGCATTTCTGCCAATCAAGGGGAAAAAGTATGGACGAAGTCACGGGCGGGACAAATTCTAAAGTCTCATTGATGAATCTTGGTAGTATCGGTATTCAATCCACCGCGATGAAGAGTTACGAAACATCAGCGGGTGGAGGAAAAGTGGGAGGAAGGGAGGGAGGGAAGGAAGGAAAGGAGACGGGCAAGCAAGCAAGCAAGTAGGGGAGCTGGAGCGCGAAGACCGAAAGCGAGAGAGACGAAATGAACTCGGTGAGCAGATTTAGGTTATATCTCCGCGTCTTGCGCGCCAATTTGAATTCGAAGGTCGGGTGTGGCGGGAGATAGCGGACGCTATGCGGGCCAAAGCGGTGGCGTCAACAGCTGCTGTGTCGCGCCACGCCGTGTCCAGCCGTCGAGACGAGGCCGAGATGGAAACACCAACAGCGCGAAACCCGCCAAAATACAAGCGAATGCACGCGGCACGTCGCAGCGCGCTTTTGACTTCGAGTGAGAGTGAGTGAGTGAGTGAGTGAGAGAGAAAGAGAGAGAGGGAGATAAGTGGGGGAGCGAGGGAGGGAAAGAGACAGACGGAGAGCGCGCGCAGGAACTTAGCTTAAGACGAAAAAAGACAGAGATAGGTGTAGAAAGAGAGGGAGAGAGAAGTGAGGATGAGAGAGACAGAAAAAGTGTGAGAAAAGGAGAAAAAACACGAGTCGCATCGATGACGATCTCGACGGTTAGGTCGAAGCCGCTGGTGTATCGGAGGTTTGGTACTTACCCGGCCGGGCCAAGGCGAAAATCCCTTCATCTTCGCCCTGAAAGTCAGAAACAGATACGGGGTTGGGATTAGTACACGAGCACTGTATATACGCGCGATTGTCGAGGTATGAACACTTCTTTCAATACACACCATACTAGATCACCTAGTTTGAATACTTCTGACATCACGACACGAGAGAATTCCACGAGACTCGGTCGGGGATAGTGCTCCTCTAACGCTCACCCAGTAACTAACTGGCGCTCGCAGCGTCGTTTGTGCGCAACGTTATCCAAGTCGTCCCTTCCTCACGTCGCCCCCACCACTGAACCCTTTTATGCCGGTTGACTAGTCAAATGAGTGACTTTCTTGCTAATCAGCGTTGCATCTAGCGTGCAACGGATGAATGTAAAATACGTGCGTTTCATTGATTATATATTGAAAAATACACTGTTCTGTTGGAGGAATTATTAAGATTGTTGATAACAGGTTTCCGGTGCTTCAGCGGTCTTCCGGCGGCTAAGGTCACGTCCTAAAGGCCAACTCGCAATGCGCAGCCGCCGACGACCAATCGACGCTCGACACTCGAGCTTCAGTTTTGGACCGGAGATAGAAAAAATTCATTTCCCGCGAAATGGCAGCCTTGTTCTTCCTTGAAGTCGCCCTTTTCCAGTCATGATTTATAAAATTTCAGTCAAGCACATCGTCGATACGGTCGTAGACCACCAAGGATTCATTCCGCATCTTGAATTCCCTGATCAAGTTGGACTTGTCCAATAGGAAGATCTTGCCAGTGACTTCAGCTACGATTCTCTTATCAGCGTCGGAAATGATGGACGTGACTCGAGCGGAATCTTGAATGGTCACGTTGGTTACGTCTTACCAGCTGTCAGCCATCGATTGTGACCGCACGATTGCTACCTTGCTGAAAAGGGGTATTTCGCGTCACGAAGGAGGCACGCACCGTCCTTCGCGGCGGATCGTTAACGAGACGTCACTTGGTCACAGTTTACGTTAAATCTGGCCGACAATGGACAATAACGTCCGTCACAATACGGTACATTCGCGGATGATCAATCGTCGCTTGTAAACGATCCCGTTTCACCGAACGCTCCTTGGACATCGCGTTCGATTCACCTCGCGAGTCGGGGAATCTCGTGCGAAATATATATCTCTATCTCTGTCTTTTGCCACCGTAGGAAAATCAGTCTCGACTGGTGTGTCACGCGATGGAGTTGAATATCGCGAGACTGTCAAATTTTTCTCGTCCGAGGTCGCGGTCGCTTTAGTTCACCTCTACGTCATTCTCACGATAACGTCACGCTGTTTTGGTGATTTTTATTTCGTCACCTCTTGATCGACGGCTTTGTTACTCATGATTTAAGGAAGCATGTGTATTTCAATATTGACGAAATCGTATTTTTCGACGATAACTCTGCAAATTCTGTGTTATTTATTGAAATCTCTACTACTTTACAGCCACTCCAAACAATTGCGGATACCAGCGGCGAAGTGTCGCGCAATAACGAAATTCCTACACTCACCGTGGCTATGCCAGTCATGCAGGCTGATATGCTAGGACATTCTGGCAGTTCTACCGGTGCGCATGCTGCAGCAGTAAATCGGATGGTAATATCATGATATAAGTTAGCACGATGGTCTGGTCAGCTGTTAACTGAATAAAATTATTCAGGCTGAAGGGGAGGAGATTCCACCTCCAAAACCAGACTTTTCTGCACCACCACCCTATGAAGTAGCCACAAAACTACCTAGTTACGAAGAAGTGCAACGCGAGAAAAATTTACAGGGCGAGCCTCATCCTCAAATACATATGGTATCTGATTGTAATTAAAGGGATTTCAGTGTACATTTATCTTCTGAACAGATATGATTCATCGTGAAACATTTTGTAGCTAGGGAATGTCAGAGCGCCACAACAACCTCTAACAATATTGGCTATAGATACTGAAGCTGCGGATGGGGACCCGGAAAGTGGACTACTTGGCACAGACTTTATGTTCTTTACAGCGTTTCTTGGTAAACATCTGTTATCTACTGTCAAATAATACTGTAAATATAAAGTGACAATTATTTATATTGATTTATGTTTGCTTACAGTTGCATTCCTCTTTAACTGGATCGGATTTTTGCTGCTAATGTGTTTCTGTCACACTATTGCTTCTCGTTACGGAGCGCTAGCTGGCTTTGGATTATCCCTGACAAAGTGGACGCTCATTGTCAAACACTCTACTGACCTTGCCTCGCGAGAGAACTCATGGCTGTGGTGGCTAATAATGGCATTTGGTATGTATTGCAGCTAGAATATTCATGTTTATTGCAATTATCCAAGAGTCCCTGGTTCTGAAGTACATATAACGTAACCGTGCTTATTCCAGGCATTCTAATTTGCATACGTGCCATCATCCAATATCTGAACATCAAACGTGGGTGGGGGCTATTGTCTGGCAGCGCACAAGAACGTTTACTTTTTTTCTATTAAAGAAACCAGTAAATATGTATCTGCACCTTTATTCAATTTGGCTTTAGAGCAAGCATTTCTATGTGAGGTTGTATTTGTATAATATATATAATCAATAACATTCTTAAGTGGGAGAGCATCTTATATATAGGTCATAATGTTTATCGTATCGTATCTATATAGCAAATGAAAAGCCAGACTTCGAAAATAATTTTTGCCAAATTCACTACATAAAATGAACGTAATGAGAAAGAGAAACAAAGGAAAGAAATTCAACTTGTTTCATGCGTGCTCGTTCGCACACTACACAAACACACTGACACACATAGCCACAAATAACTTTATGTGATGTCATGAGATATTCTATGGGGAAAATAATGTACATTTTTATTGCTCAAAATACGAACAATGCTTTAAACCGAAATGATATTCATTTATGCGTTGTTCGCTTGGGTACGGATCGCGCGTGCATGTTAGGCGCGCAAAATTATGCGCAAAATTTACATATATATATATATTCAGAAAGTCAAAATGAATCGTTTTGGGATACGAGAAATAAAATTTGTTTATTTCCAGATAAGTGTAATAAAGAGAGGACAAAAGTTCTGATAGTATAAAATATACATTCTAGTGCTAGAGAGGAGCTTCTATAGAAATTTGACTATATATGATAAGTGTATTGATATATCTTGCTTGTTTATATAGAGTATTATAATTTATATATATATATTATGTGTACACACACACACACACACACAAACACATAGTGAGAGTTCTCTTACGGAATTCTCTTATATAGCGAAATTCTCTTACGAAATTCCGAGAGTAATATAAGTTAAAGAAAATATAAATAAATATGATATATATATATATATATGTATTAAAATTTTATTATGTAACAATGCGATATATACGTTATACGTTATTCTGTGAGACACATTTAATTGTTATACTTATTACAACGATAAAACAAAAAAACATCAGTATTTTATGTTATCTCCCTCACTCTGTTTTAGTTTTAGTACTATATACCAGAATATCGATATGCAGTCTAAGTGCACGTTAGATGCTTTATACAAAGCCGTTTGTACATGTTACGCAATGTACACACAATATATTTTCCAAGGAATATTTTTTGCAAATGCATAAAAAATAAATAAATTTTTATCTGTCATCGAAAGAGTGTTTATTATTGTTTCATTATGTTACGCATTCGTGTAGTTAATATCTGTTGTCGATAAGATTACAGATTCGATATATTGATGTTTTCTATTTATACAGATTCACTAAAAGTTTTGAGTCCTTATGTACATTATCTATTGCATTGTTCTGCAAGAGGTCCCATGGTGTAATGGTTAGCACTCTGGACTCTGAATCCAGCGATCCGAGTTCAAATCTCGGTGGGACCTTCCCTTTTGCATGCACAAATATATATATATATATTTTTATTGTATCATTATTTATTTATAAACTGGTATAAATTAAATAAAAACTTTTCAATATAATTAAAAGTAACTAATTATTATATAGAAAAATATAAATTAATTTAAATAGTAAATTAGCACTTTTTAAAATGAATCCTCTAATGAAAGAAAAATATGTCAAAAGAGATCTTAAAACGTTCTTTTAAGAAACATTACGGTTGTAAGTAAATGATAGCGTATGATAAATATAAATCCGTTATGTAAAAAAGATTGTTTCTCTGCGGAAAACATTGTGTATAAATGTGAGTAACAGCATTTGAAAGCGAGAACTTTCTCTTTCAGATAGAATATAAAGAGACTGCCGTACTGTTTTTTATCGAATTGTTTAATATTAAAGCGGAAATGTGGTCTTTCGACTTTAATCGTTTACAAAAGATAAATGTATCAACCAATATGTGGCATTCATTAAAATATAATTAAAAAACTTAAAAAGTTTCTTCTTAAAAATATATTTATTATATTTTTGATAAAAGCAATGTTTGATGTAAAAATTCAACTGTGAAATGAAATTGGAAATTAAACGATCACTATCTCTCGTTTAACCTCTCATATACCTCGGTAAAAAACAAAGACAAAATAATGACACTAATATGACTATAAACTAGATGCTTTAAGCTACAAAATACTTTTCGAACTATTTCGATATTGTTATTTTTCCTGGAGTTACAACCCGTTGAATTTTACTTATTTTTCAGGATAAGGCAATAAGACGTCTGGCTGAACCATTGAGTTATATCACGACGATTCTTCGTAAAGGAAGTGGCGGCTCGTAGCGGGAACTTTAGAACTAATAATAACGGGTCCAAGACTAGTGGACTGTTCTTTTTAGCTGCACTACTGAACCGGTGCGATAAGTTAAAGTGAGAACAAATATAGTTGTCTCACTCTAACTTATTGCACTAATTCCGCAGTGCAGCTAAAAAGAACAAACCAAATGTTAGACACCTTATTTCCGAGAGCTAAAGCCGGCGGCACACGATGCTTGTTTTCGTGCTGGATTGCTTGCTGGATGAAAATACTACGTTCTGATTGGTACATTTCCGAAGATGAATGGAAATGCACCAATCAGAACGCAGTATTTTCATCTAGCAAGCAATCCAGCACGAAAACAAGCACCGTGTGCCGCTGGCTTAAGATAGTACACAGAGAGTAAAAGTTGCTTTATATTCGGTTTAAAGAAAAAAGTTTGGATTTTCAGATTCTATTAACTTGTATACAATGTTTAATTTATACAGTCTCTGTTTATATCAATTTATATGTACATAAATAAAAAAATGTTTTTCATAAATTCAATAATACATTGAACGTGAAATTTGAAATTTGTTGGATTGCATAAAGGAAATATTGCGTATAAATGGGACTTGTACCAACTAGAAATGTAGATTTCTCTCTTTAATATATATAATGACTTGATAATTCTCTTTAATATATGTAACTTGATAAGTGTGTATATAATAAATGCGTATAATAAAATTTACTATTATAGACATAGCAAATCTTTCATTCGTCTTAACTACATCTTTAATTCGACGCGCAAAAATTATAATGTTACATTAGTTATTATCTTAGTTGTTCTTTTTGTCCTCCTATATTTTAGCATTTATGTAATTTGGCGTGTTCTAATTTCCTTCCAATACGATTTCATTCTAGCTAAAAAAAACAAACCTAGTTAGCGCGACCGAACAGCATATTGAATAGACATTTCTATTTATTAATGAGAACAATACAAACTCTGTCATCATAACACTGACGAATCAATTTTATAAGCAAAGTGTAAACTCGGTTATTGCACGAGCTAATAATTGAGAAAAACATGAAACGTCCGTTGAATAATGGAAGTGACAATTCTGACACGAATCCTATTGTCTTCTTGGATATTGTTGTTGGGCCCGAGAAAGGTATTTCGCACGAGGTTATATTTATTTTAAAAGCAAACACTTGTGCGACGAAATGCAGAGTTCATGATCCTGTGACTGTTATTTAGTGGGCAGAATCGTCATAGAATTGTTCAAAGATATCGTGCCACGAACCGCGGAAAATTTTCGTGCATTATGCACAGGCGAAAAGGGCAGTGGATCGAACGCCAAGAGGTTACATTACAAGGGATGCGTTTTCCACAAATGTATGCATATTTTTCTATCATGTAATATTCTGTCCAATTACATTTAAATGTTAGATTAATCTATTATTTGTTTCATACATCATTCACTGCAGCCATCCCGCAGTTTATGATCCAAGGAGGAGACATTGTAAACTTCAATGGTACCAGCGGGGAGAGTATCTATGGTCCTTACTTCGAGGATGAGAATTTCCAGTTAAAACACACATCCGCTGGATTACTTAGTATGGTGAATGAGGGAAAACCAAACACCAACAGTTCCCAATTTATTATCACTTGTGTGCCTTGCTTACATTTGGACGGTACTAATGTAGTATTTGGAAAAGTCATTAAAGGCATAGGTATAATTTTGGAGCTCAATAGCCTACCGACTATGAAGGATATTCCAGTTGATGTAAGACTACAATTTTTTAACATACAAGATTAATAGTTTATTTAAGCTTTCACGATTGCTCAGTTGCACAATCGGCTTGTTTAGGAAATAAAGGTAGTCGATTGTGGAGAGTTAAGAAGAGATGAAAGCTGGGGAATAGAAGAAAATGATGGATCTGAAGATGTTTACACACCATGGCCCGAAGATTGGCATTATTCTTTGTCTGTTAATAAACTAAGTGTAAGTCAGTCTTGTATATCATTTCTTGTATTTAGTATAAAAAGGTTATATTTAAATTTGAATTTATTTATACTTATAGCACAAATATGTTGAGGAGGTTATAAAAAAGATAAAAGATTCAGGAAATTATTATTTTTCGAGAAAAAACTTTGTGGATGCGGATAGAAAATACAAGAAAGCACTGCGATATTATAATTGGATGACAAAGCAAAAGGACTTGTTAGATACACCTGACAGGACATTGATAGAACTTAAAGTGATTATACTACTTAATTTGGCTGCTGTAAAATTAAAAAAAGAGAACTATCGCGATGTAGTGGAACATTGTAATGAGGTAAGTAAATATTCGAATAAAAAGGTCAAACAATTTATTTCACGCTTTAACGCACAATTTAATTCAGGTCTTAGAATTGGACAAAGCTAATAGCAAAGCATTATTTCGAAGAGGGCAAGCTTATATTGGCATGAATGAATATGAATTAGGTTTAGCAAATTTGCAACAAGCACTCCTGGAATGCCCTAATAACAAGGATATCGTTCAGGAAATAAATAAAGTAAAAAAGATTATAAATTCCTACTTGACGACAGAAAGAGCAGTGTGTCAAAGAATGTTCAAGTAATGAAATTACTTCTTGCTTAGAAGTTACAAATTTATAAAAATTTTTTATATATAGATAGTTTTACATTGATAACCACAGCTGCAGTGTTTGTTTAAAGGTTTAAATCAATGTATGTATTAGATTGATGAAAAAATCTGTACATAATTTTTTGTTGATATATAAGCTACATTGTGAAACATATGAATCAACTTTTTTTATCAATTTAATACAATCATATGATCATTTTATTTTTTTATATCCAAATAAGCGAATATGCTATATCTCAATACTTATCGATATAAAAAATTATAAATTTTTCTATATTTAAATAATATAAATTTTATGAGACTATTTTATAAATATTAAATGAGAGAAGAAATCTACAAATATTTTAGAAGTAGAAAGAAAATTATGTGTGTAACATGCTGTGTGTGTATATTTTCTTAAAATAAATTAAAAATACAATGAAAATATTTACTGAATTTAAAATACAATGGAAAAATACAATGAATTCGACGTATACTGTTTTTCATAAGATACCAAACCGCATAAATTACGGGTAGTTAGGGAATGTAAAATATAAATACAATGCTATGAATACATTCCTGTTTTACGAGTGAGTTTACTCAACTTGTAATTTCTGTTATTAACTATAATTATTTTGGTTTGTATCACGTTCACATGTGTTCCTTGGAAAAATCACAAGAATGAAGAATATAAATTTAAGCTTAAGCGTATTTTCTGGCTAAAGCAAACATTTCTACGAATGTCTTAAAAGTTACGTTAAATACGCATGGAATGTTTATCTTGCCGTTCACTGACATATTCTGAATTATTTAAAAAATGTTTGCCATTTAAATACCATTAGTAGTAGAATATGTTGCAGCGTCAATACACAGTGTCAATTTAGTAAGCTCGCCTGTATGTATTTATGGGTTATTAAATTAATCATTCAACACTTATTTGTCGTATGCAAATATCAATAGTTACAGAAACGTAACGTCACGCTTCTTCAGTTCTAGTGGTTTAAAAATCGTGATTTTTAATGGCGTAATACGCATACTTTTAATGAAAGTCTCTCACAATGTTTATTTCATAAAGTTGAGTAATATCTACATAACAATCTTCGAGTAAATATCTACAGTGTACCTAAATGTAAAAGCTATTGACTAGATCATACTTCTGGTATCTTTTCTAATACTTGAATATCTTCTGTATCTATTAAAACTAATGTTTCTTCTTCCATATAGACAAATAAATAAATAAATAAGTAAATAAATAAACAATTACTAAAAACGCATATGTGTAAAGTGTTATTGAAAGAACTAAGGAATTAAAAACTGGAAGGGCATTACAAACGCGTCTCATGGATAACAAATACATATCTTGTGCAGATACTTTGATCTGAGAACCAACGTTAGTCAGCCTTCTTTGGGATGTAAGATGTGCTTTTCCGAAGTAGTGAGAAATCATGTCGAGGAGCAATGGCCAAAACTGGCGGAACGTTTTCTCGAAAACGATTCTCTAACGGTCAGTTCGGTAAAATACATGCTATGCTTCACGTGAATGCACGTGCTTCTGTAACGCTCTATTGCCAACAGCCGACAGGACATATGGACGGAAAATTTCCGGAATTCCTTATTAATGATGACACACACAGTTTACCATATAACATAACAAAGAGTTGCGCAAAATAGCTCAGACGTTTCACAGTCATTGACAAAACTCCGTTCACCGTAAAGATCTCTTTCTCTCTCACATTTGAATCACGCGGACACTTCATTCGGACAGAATGGCAGCTTATTATTTCTGATGAAAATATCCCTTTCGTAACAAAATGGCTCACGATTAAAATTAACACCGTTTTTCTAATATCGTTACGACTAAAATTATTTCTTTTTCACGTTATTTACAGTGAGCATTTTTTTTAGACAACCTCCATCTCTCCTCGCATTTTACCGTCTTATCGTGATTGTGTTACTCACAAGGCATATGGGTTTTGCGAACTCGTAACAATCAAATCTAACAGGTCTCTTGCTCGTCCTCGTTCACGTCGTTACTTTTCTCGCAGTTCTCACAATCCTCCGCTACGTTTTCCGTCTCAATCAGATTGTGCAGCTCCTTGCACAACGCTTCCTCGCACACCTCGCCGTCTATCGCCGCGTTCTCGATGATTTTTTCGTAGTCGTCCGTCGCCTCGTTCTCAACTGCCTCCTTAAAGTCGGACTCTATTATTTCTTCGCAACTCTTGAACATCTCAGGATCGTTCGAATTCAATACCTCCGGATTCTCATTCGAATTCAAGATATCCGTGTTGACCTCATCATCCGTCGTATCGGTAGACTGCGAGACCTTCTTCAGCACGCTGTCTACCAAGTTCGATGCGAAACTCTTATTCTCGTTTCCTTCGTGTATCGTCTGATGTATCGCTAGACTCTGCGGTCTGTTCGGACGCCCATACGGGAACGTGTTTTCTTCGCCCGCCGGTGTATGCACAGCGGATATCTCGGTCTGAGTAGCCACACCGTTATCCACGAGATCGGGCTTCGGTTTCATGTTGGACATGCAACGTTTTATCTCCGACATCGAATCTTGCAATTGTTGGACCTGATTAAAAAAAAAGAAAAGGGAGTATGCAAGGCTTTGCGGAGGGAAATCTCGTCTTCTGAGTCTGTCGAGCAATTGTGCGACCGTAAAAACGCACCTGAGTGTGAAGTAAGTTGCACGTTTGCGCGAGATTGGTAACCACGTCCGTGTTTGGTTGCAAAGCATTGTCCGTATCGTTGAAAGCGTTCTCTCGATTGCTACCCGGTTGGAGACTCACGACTTTCTTCCACAGCGCATTAATCGCCTGCATCTGCAATAATTGCAACTTATGCTCGCTTTCCAAAGCGGTTCTCGTGGCCTCCATGTCGGTCGATAATTTCCTGTAAAATATTTCACACGTGCAATTTATTTCATGAGTAAATTCATCTGTACGATCTGTAGAGTCCCCTATATACAGAGAATCACGCGCTACAAATAGAGGGAGCACAGGCTTACTGGATGTATTTATTCGTTCGGATCATATCGATCGTTTTTAATATATTAGTAGCTTTGCTATTGAGGTTCCTCGTATGATAGCCTCGCCACATTCTTTGGATGCAGATAGCAGCCTTCTCCGCTTGATCTTGATCTGTCGGTGAGAAGACACACGTTAGTAACCGCGTTTTCTTCACACTTGAAAATCGCTTTTTACCTTTGTTGCTGTCTTCCTGCCTTCTTTGAATAGCTCTGTGCCGAATGCTGTCCAACTTTGCTTGACACACTTCGCTGTCCTCGTCGCTACTCTGAGTACCATTATCAGCTTCCCCGTTTTTGTCCCCCTTATTCAAATTACTCTTGACCCTCTCGCCCGCGCTTTTCGGTCGCTGTATAATCCTCACTAAATTGGAGCCCTTCATACTCCTTTTCACGGGCAACGTTTTGCTCTGAACGTAATTGTTGATCTTCACGCTGTGCGGACACTTGCCGCTGTTGGCGTATGTCACGATCGGCTTGGCTATATTCGCCTTGACGACGCTGCTGCAATTCGTTGCGGAATTGCTCTTCATGAGCGCGTTCGCTTTGATAGCGCTTAGGCTCGTTTTCGCCATAGGATTCACGGTGTTTATGATCGGTATCGCCTTCCCGTCACCGTCGAGAGACGGCTTGCTGGGTATTGTGACTTGGCATGGGGAGCTTAGTTTACTCGGCGGCGTTTTGGGCAAAATTCGTGAAAGGCCGGAGGGTGGACGAAAGTCCGGGCTCATCAGAGACTCCGGCACCGGCACCAGTTTTGTAGCTGCTTGCAAAGGACTCGAAGTTTCTGGAGGGAATGTTATAGTTATCATCATGTGTGATAAAAGCAAAATAGAAATGGTTCGTTTGACTGAATCATTGCCCCACCTTCCATATCTTGCAGAGAGTTATTTGCCATCTTGTTGCTCAACGTGCCACAGAGCATGTTAGGATCCAAGCTTTGGGTCATCAGGTTGGATTCGTGGTCTCCACTCAACAACGCATGACACGAGGATACCATAGCATCGGTATGACAGCTGGATACCATTCGGTCCGGTGACTTCATTTTCAAATTTCTTGATGAACCTGATTAAACATCGTGCGACGCTGTAATTAACGTATTTATCGCGCGGCGAATGTCATTCGTACGAAATTCATCTTGTGCTCTTGGGATGTCTCTGACGCTAGCACTCGCCAGTGCAAGCATGCAAATGATATGTAGACTATTAAACGAAATTATACGCTATTCAAAGAAAAGATGTGAACTATGTGTGAAGGTATTTCCAAATCGTCCAACACAAACACGCCAACCAAATGTTCTAAGTAGCGACTCTGTAATGAGAATTTAACTCCTTTTTTCATCGGCCAATGGTCGTTTGCGCTATAAGCCTAAAGAAGCAGCTGCTCAGAAAATACTATGCATGAGAAGTATAGGCATGTGCATGAATCCAAATAAATTGGTTCTCCCACGTTTCAGTTGTGTTGTGAATAATTGATTGACATCTGTTAAACATGAGATACAGGCTGAAACGGACTAGCAATGAAGGCGTGTAATATTATGATAAATATCACATGTGTAATTGAGATATATTTGTAAGAACAATGTGTATTTCTTTATGAATCGAGAATAACTTCACTAATCACTCGCTCACTGAAGCACGGAGATTTTTAGACACTGTTAAAAATACATATTAAGAGATACAAAAAATTGCCCTTAGATTCTCGCACATTCCTACTGTATGGTTTTATTCAACAATACAATAAATCCTCAGTTTGACTTTTTGGATACCTTTGCAAGGGGAATAGCAGACACAGTACTTTGCTTCATAAAATTTTGGTGACTGTAAGCATTTATCTTCATAGTATGTCAACATTGGCACTAGAGAAAACAGACCATAACTAGGATGTGTATACCGAACTTGACGACTGGAAAATCTAGATCACTACTAGTCCACTTCTCGCGACTACGAGTAAATTGAGTTCTAAGAGTCCTCGACAAAACACACTTCCGAGTATTCGGTATGAGGTTACTATGCAACAGTGACGGATTTATTAGACTCACTAGGTCGTCTGGGAGAATTTGTCCTGTTATGGCTAAGTCTACGTCTAGCGGCTGGGGAAGGGCTCATCGCCACGCTACTCAAGCTGTGCACGCTCCCGGCATCGCTCTGTTGATTCAATTGCTGTTGGTGGTGCTGAGCTTTGCTCAGTATGAGTCTAAGCTTCCTGTCCGTCTCATTCTCTAAAGATTCTCCCGAGAGCGGACAGACGGACGCTAGATATTGAGCGAGCAATGCGTGTTCACCAACGCGGAATTGCCTACCTCGTCCCTGAGAATATAGCCACTCTGCTTTCAAGCTGAGTAAATGTTATTGCCAATCAGTTTCGATTCAATCCAGATTTACAGCAAATTATTTTCCAGATAATATAAACTATGTTTATATATGTGTGTGTGTGTGTGTGTGTGTTTGTGTATGTGTAAAGAGATAACTGAGAGACCCACCTTTCAATAGGATCAACTGCATAACCGTCGATCGATTTTAAGCTCATACACCAATTAATAACGAAGGGCCGGTAGTCAAACCCACTATAAACTATGTGTTAAGAATGATATGCTATCATAACAACACTATAATTGATATAAACTAGTGTCCTTATGTCTAATAAGTGTGAAAGCAAGTGTTAAATCAGTAGAAGTTATCAGTTATGTTTATAAAATAGAACGCTATATCATGTCAAGAAACAAAATTATTGTTTGCAGCTATAATTATAATTAATTAAAAAAACAACATTGATGGATCTGGCTAAGTTCTAAATATGACAGTGTAAAATAGTGATTTACTGAAAAGGATACATACTGTTACCTGTCATACTGACACACGGATTGTTAGCAATTGAGAAATTCACCACATTCTTGAGATTAGCCAAGTGTGACATTTCATTCAAGTCGGTAATATTGTTATTCGCCAATGTAAATGTTTCTAGAGATGTGGGCAAATAGCGCTCACACTGACGCAGTGTTATTATGCGATTGTTATGTAGGAAAAGTTCCTAAAATATTGATTATCTCATAAAAATGTGAGAAAATTGTAAGTTTGTAAAATTTTACTTAATATGTTAAACGAAGCATTCAACTATAATTTCATACATTATTATATCAAACAATTATGATAATATACCTTCAAATTTCGCAGATAAGAGATATCTGAAATATGGCTGATGCTATTTTCGGATAAATCCAGATGTTCCAACTTGGTATTTGTATGTAGATGTTCAATAGACTAAAATTTATTACATAATAATTATAAAATTGTAAGAATAAATTATTGCAACACTGTTGGACTGTACCTTGATATTGTTACCAGCTAAACAAAGCGTTTGCAAATTAGTCATGTCCTTGATACCTTCTATTGTGAGTATACCATTATTTGCCAGATTGAGGGTAACAAGATTATGTAATTTGGATACACCATACATCCGCAGCAATTGATTCCTGACTATTGAAAGCTGAAACCAATAGGACCAATGGAGCATATATTGTAACATGTACAACAAATATATATTTGCAATAAGATTATATAAAATTATAAACTTTGACATTTTATCAATTGTTTATATATCAAAATTATGTATATTAAAATTTAAATAAAATATGTAGTTTTTAATTTTTTTCATAGTTTTGGAAAAAGATAGTTTACAATATCAAAAGAGCTTTACTTTAAAAGTGCTATACTCTACTAAAAGACTATATTTTTACATACAGACTAACAATGTTTTTTACAAGAATTTGTAGTTTTTACCTTGGTAATTCTGTGGTAAGAATCCAAATTATCAAGCCGCTGTATGTCATTATCGTCTATAATCAACGTACTAATATCAGCGTCTGAAGGGCACCGGCTGAGCTTCTTGAGACCCTGACCGCTCAGATCGAGAGTGTCGCACACCAGAGATTCTAAAAACAAGCAAAAATTCTTCAATAGTTCATAGACACGCCTACACGTACATCATGAGTGCGTCTAAACAGAGGCGACAGCAAAAATCAAAGTGACAAGCGCGCGGAAAGGTGTGAGATAAAGTTTCGTTGATACGACAAATCGTACAGAACTTATTGGGCGTGAAATGTGAAATTTTTCAGTTGTGATAGAATGCACTGTCGTCGCGTAAATAAATTGAAATGCAAACAGAACGACAATTTTGCGACGCTCACTAACCCGTCGAAGCCATGATGAACACAATAAACTGGCGGACGCCGAGAAGATGTCGCAGTCATGATACCGGACGGGGATCGATGTACACTCGACATCAGAAATTCCTCTCAACACGTGAAGTGGTATCAATCTAGGACGTAGCCGCAACTGTGCATCATGTCTAGATATTCGTGCATCATGACTGTTGCTTATAAAATCCGAAATTACACTTCTATTTAGTAATCTAAGGTCCTATAAGCTGCTATTTATTTTCTTTTATTTCATGTGCTTAATGTTTCATACAAAAATTTATCAGTGCAAAACTGTCAGACCGCGAGCGAGTAACTTTATATGATCAAACATTCATGACGTCTAATGTACCGTAAAGCTCGAATCATTCAACAGACAGGGTGTTTCCTAACAAAGAATGCAGTCATTTCATTGGTTACGTGGTATAAGATATAGCCAATGAAATGATCGTGTTTCTTGCAAAGAGGAATTCGAGATTCGAGGTTGTGAATTTGAACTGCACTTTTTTATTTCCTTGTAATTCTTTCCTGTCGTTTTTTCACCAAGTTTCGGATATATGGTTATTTCATCTTGGATATGATATATTTTAGATAGAAAATACAATATGGGATGTGTTTCGACATTATTCACTATCAGTATTAAAAATCTATAGTATACGTAATATGTTTCTGTTCTTTTTCAAAGAATTAGTGCACATTTTCGGAATTTAGAAAAGATAGAAATATAGCTGGAATTTAGGGGAAAGAAGAAGAGAGAACTAGTACAAGATAGTGCAGAAAGTACAACGAAGTACAGAAGACAGACCAATAGTTTGATACAGGCTTGCTTGATTGTTCGGCCCCCTTAAGCCTGTGTCACATTACGGATTGAAGATCAAGGATTGCGGATTGAAGATTAGATTTCGACAAATCAACGAACTTCGGTTTTGATTTGCTTTATTCCGATTGGTCAAATTTCAATCTTCAATTCGCAATCCTTGATCTTTAATCCGTAGTGTGACACGGGCTTAACGCAGCTGGAGTATAGCGTATGGGTATACCCTACTACCTAAAGCCATATACCGAACTGAACTGATTGTTCGGTTGCACGATTCATTATTGAACCAAAACAGTTTTGTGGAATATACTAAGATTACCGATTATTTTTTTAAATAAAACATTTTAATTTAAATAAAAAATTTTAATTGGCTTAGTATAAAATTAGGTAAGATTTCATTCTTTGTTAAAATTATTAAGATATTTCTTTATGGCATGCGGTTTCGTTTCGAAGGTTCTGGACACATGCTTAGTAATTCCACGTGATATTCAAACGAGGAGAACGCGAAGCGATAAAATGAGGATGAAAATTCGTTTGATTAATATTTGTATTAGACACAAATGTACAGACGTGCATAATGTTACTCGAAGCCACAAAAAGACTCAATGGAAAAAGTTGCGTGTGAAAAATATTAACAATTTTGGTATCAATCATCAGAAAGACTTAACCTCGAAAAGTAACAATAACACAAACTCCGTTTATAATACACCAACAATACCTAATAATTTTGAAGATGGCTTCTGTAAACTGTTTACAAAATCTGAAGGAGTATCAAGCAAATTGAATAATGTTCGAACATTCAAAGAGTCTAAAATGATCGTGGACAAAGATGTAAATTCCAAATTAGAATCCAGGAAAAAGGATATAAAGACAAACAGTATACAGACTCAGCAATTGAAGGAGTCAGAACTTAATAAAGATGTTAAATTAGATGCTAATCTGAACAAAAATAATGTTAGAGTTAATGAAATAAATATGCAGATGTTGCCTGAATCATTGCATGAAAAATTATTTAAGAAAGACAATAAGCAGAAACAATTGTCTGAGGAAGAAATCAACAATATAAAAAGCCATTTGGGTGTATATGACATAAAAGTGGAGCATGCAACTAAGTCACCGGATGTAAACTTGAAATTACCAATTCTGGAAGGAAAAGATATAGAAGAACATTTTTACAACATTGGGAAAGCACAAGCTAAACCTTATCTCAAAATCATAAACAAGATAATAAAAGATATTCCCAAGATGCCAGAGCAATGGCTCTTCAAAGAAGGATGGACTAGATATACAGCTGATGGTGCGGAAAATGTAAATTTTCCACTGGAAGATGGTGTGATTTTTGATATTGAGGTGTGTATGAAACACGGTCCTTTACCTACTCTTGCCACTGCTGTCAGTGATAAGGCTTGGTATGGGTGGGTGTCAAATTCCTTAGTGGAAGGCCGAATTCCTTGGCCTTACATGACGGATAGTGGTCAGACATTCGATACACAATTATACAAAGAAAATATGCTTATTCCTATGGAAAGCACTAGAGAAGAGTATGGACAGAAGTTGAATCAGCACCAAAAGAAACCAAAGATTGTTGTAGGTCACAATGTATCATACGATAGAAGTAGAATTAAGGAGCAGTATTGGATGAATTGTACAGGAACTCGTTTCCTTGATACTATGTCATTACATGTGTGTGTCAGTGGCTTAAACAGCTATCAAAGGTCACTGTTAATGTCCAAGAAAGAGGATTCCGAGAAGGATGATTGGCAGTTTAATACTTCTTTGAATAATTTGACAGAGGTGCATAAGCTGTACTGCGGCTATGAGATAAGTAAACAGCCGAGAGACATATTTGTCGAAGGTACTCTCGAAGATGTTAAGAATGATTTTAACATGTTAATGTCTTACTGTGCTTCCGATGTTGTTGCCACTCACAATGTACTGGTCAATGTATTTCCACTCTTCCAGGAGAGATTCCCGCATCCGGTTACTCTAGCTGGAATGTTGGAACTTGGTTCTGCTTATTTACCAGTGAATTCCAATTGGCAGAGATATCTGAAGGAAGCGGAGGGCACTTTTGACGATCTGGATTATGAAGTTAAATTCACTCTCGCTCAAAAAGCCAAAGCTGCTTGCCAACTTATGCACGGCGAACAATATAAACATGATCTATGGATGTGGGATCAAGACTGGAGTACACGAACGCTTAAGTTGAAGAAGAAACCATCGAAGCCGACGTCCACTGATTCAAAGACAAGCGTAAAAAAGTATGCGATAAAGAAGTCGGACGACAAGCAATATCTGTCAGACGGCGAGCAAGAAGAGGAAGATCCTTTGGCAAAGGAGTTCGCTTATTTAGAAGAGACCAAATATTTGTTGCCGAGCAGGATGCCCCACATGCCGGGATACCCAGCCTGGTACGGGAAACTCTGTCCCAAGCATGGCGACAAAGATTGGGCACCAGGTCCGCATAAAATCAGCACCTCCATGAAAGTAGTTCCTAAGCTGCTGAGACTGACATGGGAGAAATACCCGCTACATTACATAAGGGAACACGGCTGGGGAATCTTGGTACCTTACAACGACGATCCCAATATTCAGACTAAAATACCGTTGAAGAGTCTTCTGGCGTATTGTCCTTTGCCAACGTCGAATTATGAATTCAGGGATACTTCCAACGACGCGATGACCACTCTGAGCGCCGACGTGCAGAACGACCTCCATAAGACCGAATATTGGCGATTCAAAAAGAATAAAAAAGCTAAAACAGAGCCATATGAGAAAGTGTACAACGGTAGCGCCACGTGGTGCAACGTCGATATCGACAATTGCTGTTACTTTTTCAAATTGCCGCATAAGGACGGTAAAGGCAAAAATGTCGGTAATCCCTTGTCAAAAGACTTCCTCAACAAGTTCTCCGAGAACGTGCTGGCCGGCCTGGACTCGAGCGCGACCGAACTACTGAAGAACGCTCGTATGTTGTCGTATTGGCGGAACAATCGCGACCGAATCTTGTCTCAATTGGTGATCTGGTTGGACGACCGTTCGCTACCTAGTGCAGTCACAAAGTTCAAGAGACGTACGGCGCGTTACGGCACGATAATACCACAGGTGGTGGTCTCCGGCACGTTGACGCGACGCGCCGTCGAGCGTACGTGGATGACGGCATCGAACGCTTCCCCGGAGCGCATCGGTTCCGAGCTGCGGTCGATGGTGCAAGCGCCGCCGGGTTACAACATCGTCGGCGCGGATGTGGACAGTCAGGAATTGTGGATCGCCTCGATGCTCGGCGACGCTCATCATAGCGGGAGTATTCACGGCGCCACACCGTTTGGGTGGATGACTTTGATCGGTACCAAGTCCAATGGCACCGATATGCACAGCGTTACCGCCAAAGCCGTCGGCATTTCCCGCGACCACGCCAAGGTCATCAATTACGCCAGGATCTACGGCGCCGGCCAGAAGTTCGCCGAGCAACTGCTGAAGCAGTTCAATCCGTCTATGACGGACGCCGAGGCAGCCGCCAAGTCGCGTAAGATGTTCACTCTCACCAAGGGCAAGAAAGTGTTCAGACTGAAGGCCGAGTTCGTCAACGACAACATAGAGGATATACCTTATACCTCTTTCCAGGCATATCAAATAGCAAAGTTGTACGGCAAAACGTTGCAGGAGATGTTCCAGAGGAGCGAATGGGTTGGCGGCTCGGAATCGGCCATGTTCAATCGGCTAGAGGAAATCGCCAGTAGTGAGCGCCCGGTCACGCCGTTTCTCAACTCCCGACTGAGCCGTGCGCTGGAGGTTACTAATACTGATAACGACGACAATTTCCTACCTACGAAGATCAATTGGGTGGTGCAGAGCGGCGCGGTCGACTTCCTTCATCTGATGTTGGTTTCCATGAGATGGCTGATGCGGGACAACGCAAGATTTTGCCTGTCGTTCCACGACGAAGTGCGCTATCTGGTCCCATCTAGATACAAGTACAACGCTGCACTCGCCATGCACGTGACCAACCTACTAACGAGATCATTCTGCGCCTCAAAAGTCGGCATGAGGGATCTGCCGATGTCGGTGGCGTTCTTCACCTCCGTGGAAGTTGATACCGTTCTGCGCAAAGAGGCCGCTCACGACTGTAAAACCCCGTCAAATCAGCACGGGCTGCAAAACGGATATGACATACCGCCCGGCGAGAGTCTAGACGTGTGGACCGCTTTGGAGAAGTCCGCTGGCTCCTTAGGATGGTGGCATGACGCGAAAGATCGCAAAATTAAGACAGCGGATTCGACCGCGGAGAAATCCGCTTAAAATCGTGTCGCTTCACGTTCATCGAAAATCATCGCGCCAATTTTGTATCGGTATTTTTAAGCGTGGAATCAATTTTGTTTTGCGCTGTTCAAGGACATACTTGAAGAGAGGAGAGGAGAAAAGAAGAGAACTGGGTGGTACTTAAAAGTTGTGGTCTGTTTGATTCACTTTTACAGATCACGATGTTTAAGGCAACGAAACGTAATAAGTACATCATTTACGACGAGCTGCGTGTACCGACGGATTCTCAATGTATCGTACAAATCATCAAACCACGCGGCAGTCAACTCTACGAAGTCATCAATCCCGCTGGCGAACAGTACCTTGTCTCGATGCCTAACAGATATCGGAAAATGATTTGGGTGAAGAGGGGTGACTACGTTCTAACCGATCCCATCAAGGAGGGCGATAAAGTCAAAGGCGAAATTGTCAAGAGGCTTACGGAGGTATATAATATGACATTTTGTAGTTATATCCAACTATATACGTTATTTTTCTGAAGTAATTTTTTCCTATTCTCTATTTTTTATTTAATAAGAATATTCTGCTTTAAATATTACTAAAAATAAAAGTAAAATATAATGAAAATAGGATTTTTTTGTAAATACCGGACAATAATTTTACCTTGTATTAATATAACGCTTTATAGCGTGATATAAAAAGTTATCGTACACAAAAATGCTGGCCGTCGGAATTTGATAAGGATCCAGAAAAGAGCGAGCGTTTGACAATGGAGAATGATACGAGGGATGATGACGACAGGGATCTTTTCGTGAATACGAATAGAGGAAGGTGGCAAGAGACAGACGACAGCGAGAATGATTCGACTTCTAGTGACACTGATTAACGTCGTATATTTCATCTTAAAGAGGAAATAACCTTTTTACATAGTAATATAAGAAAACAAGAACTTTTGTATTAATATAAAGAATTACATACAAGTCTGTACATATATAACAGTATATATACTGTAGTTTCCGTATTCCTTATTTCGAGCAGATATTGTTAAAAATGTTCTTATATGTATTTTTCTACTGATACGATCTGTAAACGTGTAATAAAATATCATTTTTGCATATAATATCGATTCTACTTCAATTCTTCGTCTTTCACAAGCTTATTCATATTATCGTCGTTGTCGTAAATTTTAATGAGGCGTATATCCAAAGAAATAAATAGGACCTGCAATTTATCCGCTATTGAACCGGACGTAATTCCATCAACGCGTTATTGCGTAAATAGTGTTATTAATTTAGGGTAATAATTTTCAGTACTGTTTTGGTTGAGGTAAAAATATAATTACATTTATCGCGGAATTTATGATTAAAAGGAATGTGACGATAATAGCTGAAAAATATGCAGATTTTTTTAAACTTACGATCATTAACTCGCACGTCGCGAATCAAAATGAGTCAAAATCAATTTTGCGTGGTAGTTTATGAGCAACAGCTTCGTCTCATAGCGAAATTCCTTTATTACTTTCAATCAAGGCGTTTGATGTTGGCGGCTGGCTGTAAAGTTGCTATTTTCTCACAAATACTCAGAACGAGACTATTCGTCTACCTTTCAGCTGCATGGAAGAGAATTCAAGAAGAACGCCGAGTTCTAAAGGGGCAAGAAATTGAAATCGAAAATGAATTAGTAGGAAAATGTGGAGGAAAGATCCTAGAAATCTTGAGAGTACTCGTATGTCTGATGCAGCTCTCTTTAGTTTCTCATATCGATCGCATATAATTAGAGTTGTTCCAGCGATGTTCGTATTTTTGTTATAATTTAACGCTATGATTTGTATCTGAATTTGAGAAAAGTTATATACGTTAATTTTTGTGTATGTCTGTCAGAAGTTTTCTCGACAATTCTTTTTATTGAATAGTTTCATAGAGCAAACACCGATCAATATATAACTGATAGAGAATAATTACCAGATTCTATCAAATAAAAGCTATCTTGATGCTGGAAATCGAGAATTGTAATTTCAATTTCTATCTGTTTTCCGTGAAAAAAGATTCATCTCGAACTTCCCTTTCGAAATAAATAAAAACTACGAAAGCAATTTTCTTCTAAAGATTTCCGGCTTATCAATTAATTGCAAAAATTAGTTTTTTTAAATATCTCCATTTCAGTTCGGTTTTATTTTGTTATTTTTTTCAACCAAGAACGTTGAAACAAACACGAACTGATACTTGAACGAAAGATGCGTCACTGTAATATTAATAAAATACATTTTTTCATGAACCAATCTGTGTCTTATAGATATACAGGATAAGAAGATATTCAGAATTTTGCAATATTTCCAGAGACACGCGTGATATACAACAGAATAAGATCATTGATAAAACTGATGTTGCGTTTTCCTTCTTTCTCCGTGAAAGGCATTTCCATTCTCGGAGATTACTTTCGTGAGAAAATACAAGAAAGAATCTTATCTTTCTTTCTCTGTTGCATTTAAAAAGACGAAACATAGAATGTCGAACATAAGTGTCTCGCAAATAAGTCACAAACCTATGTCGTAAACACGACGAGAGTTATGCGCTTCGTATAGAAAATGACATTCGAAGACTGCCGTGTCGCGATTCATCTAGAAAAGACGTTAGCGGCGCAGCAAAAACGATTTATTTGAGCTTGAGAAGTCACATCGGTGTAGATAAGGCGGTGATATACTGGTTTCAGCTTGGTTGGACCGTCTTGACATGAGCAAATGTAAGTGGAAAGGGAATAATGTTGCGCAAATGCCGGTAGCGATGAGCGAAATCTTTTCGCGAGATCCTCCTGTACTCCTATGTTGCATTATACCTCTAATACCTCTGTTTGCTTTTATCTAGCAAATTTATTATAATTCATCTAAGAAATTCACAAATCGTAAACGAATAATTTAGACAGCATGAGACGTCTTTTCAAGATCATCTTGAATCTATTCAGAATGTCTCGAATATATTTAAGGTAATTCCGAGATGTTCTCTGCTTAGAAAATGATAAAAAGAATAATAATTATATATAATATACCTTTTCATTATTTTAACATAATTTATAGTTGATAAGTATCGTGATATTAATTTTCTAAATCACACTTGTATATTTATTTTATTATTCTTTTGTTCGTATATATATATATATATATATATATATATATATATATATATATATAATTAATATATAATATATATTCTCTTGTATGCTCCAAAAACCCACGATTGGCAAGATTTGATGACCGAGATTTTTAAACATATTAAAAAAAGAAGAAAAAAGAAGGAAGAGTGCAATGTCTTAGATGTCACGGGTAAGCGAGGTCACAGTAACTGAGCATTCGCTGTAATAGTTGATTTGACACGACAAGCATGAAATTAACTCATATCCTCCTGACAAAAAATATATTATTTATTATACACTGACCTCAAACGAGCTTCGCACATATTCATCGACTGCCATTATAATTTCCCGAGAGTAAAAAAATGCGTGATATTAACGATGAATAATCGTCGCGTGTTTTTGGAACAACGTAATTTTCCGTTATTTAAGAGTTGATTTAACCGCAAATAGATTGTACATTATAACGTACGGCAAAGCTGATCGAAATAATGGGCTTTATAATAATGATGATATTTCGCGGGGGATATTTTCAGGATGCAAGAACGTGATTCCGTTAGGTATGTTTGAAAACTTCGCGACTCACTGGGAGCTTGAAATACCCGGTTAAAACTTCGTCACGTTCGACGATAAGTTAGATAAACCTGCTACGGAAACTTCACTTCAAAAGACGTTTATATATTGTTCGGAGAACTCCGAGGTGAGAACGACTTCGAGAAAATTTCGAAATGATTGTCAGTCTTGCGAAAGAAAGCCGATGGAAAGTGTCGCATAAATATTACAGTGAGTCCTTTATTGAGTGAGAAATTTATTGGTAAGAGCACTTCCCTCGAAACGTTAAAAATAAGAGTGACACAAGAAGAGAGAAATGTAACAGTTTCTCTCTCTATGAAATATTTCCAAGATTCGACTTCTATCGATTTCCCCCCTCCTCCTCCTCCTCCTCCTCCTCACCCCACATACTCACTCACACGTAGGCGTATTCTGCGACGGACACTTATCTGTCTCGAGTTCCAGAGATCCCACGACCGTAATTAAAGACTAACTTGATCTGACAACGATACGAGAAAAGAACTTCTCTATCGGCGGAATCTGCGAAACCGGGTAGTCGAACAGGTGTCAGCGGTGGTATCACCGAGAGCGATACCGGGCTCAGTTCGTGTGAGACGTTCTACCGTGAATGACGGTTCGTTGATTTAACATTTTCTTTTTCGCATTAGACGCGCGTGCCTATTCTGACGTAACAGCTCGTCAGCGTCGACCGACGAGTGTCGAAGTAGCGTCGGCCGATCGCCTTGTAATCTGTACCGGCACACGCGTCTTGCGCGAAATGATAAACGCTCGTTTTTGCTTGTCGACCGGTCGACGACGTTCGATATCTCGTCGTGAGTGTTGAACTGTAAACAGTACAGTATACTTCCACGACACCGAAGCGCTGCTAATTTTGTTTACAGCAATCAGACCCGGGATGCGATTGCTGCCAGTAATCGCGCTATGCTCGCGGAAATTCAAATGTTCCGAAGCGGAGGAACGAGAGGTGGGATTTTTACGGTAGTGCGCGACATAACTTGACGTTTGTGCGCAATAACGATCGATCGAGGAGCGTGACGTTAAATATTTGGCCGGCGACTGAGAGCGTGTGTAGGATCCCTCTAATTGTCCATTCGAGCGAGCACATTTTCCGGCGCTCTAGTCAACGATCCGGCACGACACAGTTGATCTTAGCACGAACGAGCGTTTCTTGTAAGGACGAGGAGCATCTTCATCTTGTCGGGAAATAGCTCACCCATACACGCACGCTCTTACCGCCCAGCTTTATTCGCCACTTTGATAAATTGCTCTCAAAGGAGCAATACGAACACTGCGCTCATCAAGTATCCAGAATGCAATCACTTTCGGCGAGTACTACCGCAGGACTTGATGGGCGAGTTAAGGTCGCATAAGTTGACTGTTTTATTCGCTCCTCGGTTCCCTTCCGTTGTCCTCGAAGGACAGGGAAGGATTCTCCGGCTGCTGAGGGAGACCCTGCAGTCGAGTAATTGATCCGTTCAACATCAGACTAGAGCAAGAAGGTTTACCGACTCGGCGGATTATCGAGCGCTCTTTGTTTGCGTGCGCGATATCGAGAAGATATCAATGTGCATACGCGCGTATCGTAAAGGAAGTATCGTCGATCACGATGAATCGAACGAGCTTGCAATAAACGATATATCCTCGCGAGGACTCCGTCATGGGGACGTCGGACGGCAATTACGCGCTCGACTTTTGGCGAGACTGGGATCTGGCCAATCTGAATGAGGCCGAGTATCTGGACAGGGTGCTTGGCCCAAAGTACTTGCCCATGAAGATGGTGATACCGCTTACGATCGTCTATATGGCGGTCTTTGTGACCGGGATCTTTGGCAATGTCGCCACATGCACGGTGATCGTCAGGAACGCATCCATGCAGTCCGCCACCAACTACTACCTCTTCAGTCTGGCCATATCCGACCTCACTCTACTTATACTGGGTGAGCGAATAACATTGGCTCTCTCGCTGCTCTCTCTTTCTTTCCTTCCTGTCTTTTGGACCTTGATTCTCACTGATTCGCCTTAAATCCCTCTTATAGTTAAAGTTTAGTAATTAATCATCTCTTGCGTCATCATGTTATCTCTCTTTCTCGCGCTCGTTAGAGCCTAAAAATGAAGTCTATCTTGGGCTCTAGGTGAAATAAGCAATATATCGAGGAATATCTCACAATCTACTTTAACCCTTTAACGCCTACTGGTAACTATAGTTACCAGAAACGCATTTAAGAATCCATAACTTGGTCAAAAAAGGAGATACTTTCGTTTTCTTCTTCTAAAAAATGGTGTACAGATTGTATGTAGATTCGGTTTTTAGCTCAGTTTTAATGATAACACGTTTTGTCAAATTCTAAGTAGGCATAGTTAGCATTGTTACTGATATCTAGAAGTGGACTATAAATGAATAGATTGGTGTCTGTTGTAATTTTATACATATATAAACATTTGGAAGCTTTCTCAGATGCAAAATGTGAAATTTAAAAAATACAGAAATTCAAAATGGCGAATCCAATATGGTGGACAGGAAAATCAAGAAATCAACCTATTTTCGTGAAACCTAGTGACCTACAGTTTTTTATGTGGCGAAAAATGAAGGGACGATTGACTATCAATAAATGATGATCTATAAGATATTCTTCTGAAATAGTAAGCTTAACGCTCTGAATGATAAACTTCATTCATAAATATAGTAAAGTTTCAGCTCAAAAATGTCAAGCTAACTATCAGAGTTATGTCGTATAGATTACTCTTCATTTTTCTCTGTATAGGTCGCTCATTTCGTGTATGCTTTTAGGATCCAAGTCATATTTACCAAGAAACAATAAACAAAAATACAAGAAGACGCTTTGCAAAAAATCAAGAATCATTTGATACGTCAGAAAATTCCGTAGTTTTTCGTAGATATAAAATTCTGATATATTTTTTGGTTATCATTACTTATAGTCTCAGTTCAAAAAAACTCAAATTTTATTCTTAAAACACTTATAAAAAAGTCGGGCGTTAAAGGGTTAAGAGAAAGAGATTTGTAAGCAATTCTGAGTGCCATATGTGTGTGTGTGTGTGTAAAAAAATAATTATATGATCATTTTTCCTCAGTCACTTGCGTAAAGCGCAAACGACCCTCGACGTGTGATCAACGAGTCCAGGCTGTACAGACTGAGCCCCGGTGCTATATATCTTTTCTTCGCTTACCCTGAAAACGGCGAATTTCAGGAATGCAAGGTCCAATGGGACCGCGGTCTAAGGTTATTTCGCTATTTCGCACGTTGCCACGGCGTATTTGCTCGCGCGCTTTACATACGTCCTTTATTTCGCACGACGTCCGGGAATTTTATACGCTCTTGTGAATATGAATAACATACCCCGCGAGCGCGCGTAATTCAAAGTACATCCCTGTTATCGCGCCGATAGTCCCGGTTTTAATCGGAAATCGATACGAAGGAATGTCGATGATCGAGTCGCCACTGTCTGCAAATCAGCGACCGCATCATAGGCTCGTTAACCGCCGATGGGATTTCGCTCGCTGATAATGGTATTTTGATAATCGGCCATGCGATCGATAACGATAAACGTTTAAACTAAACTAAACTGCGTGCTCGATTGAATAACGCGTGTATCGCACTCGCGTATCGCAGATACGGCCGACGGAGGTGGATCCTTGGTAAAACAAAAGTTTCGTCGAACAATTTCCGACCGCATTGAGTAAGGTGCGGAAAGACCTTTAATAACGAATGAGGTCGAATTCCGGCGAAAGAACAAATTGCTGCGGATTTAAAGCCGATGGAACGGCCGGGATCAAGCCGGTCCTTTTGGGACGGCGATAAATAAAATCGAGCAACCCCGGCACATCCTTTCGCACTTTTTTTCAATATTGGCTTTTGCGTGAGACTCAACAATGGCGATATAAATCGTCGCAAAATAAGTGGTGGCTTTAATCGTCAGTAATGTTTATTAATGCTCATGGGCGGTAAATATGCAACGAAAAAGCATACATTTTCGATCCGAGCATTCCCACAAGCATACGCGGCTGATCTTTTCGTAGGATAAATAAAACCAATTATTGAATATTATCTGTATTATCGCGATTACAAACAGAGTCGACGCGACACGCTTATATCTGCCTACTCGCCTGCCTCCGTGCTCGCCTTCCTCGCATTGACGCACGTAGATAAAAGCTGGAAATTAATCTTTGCTTCTTTTTTCCTTTGTGTACAATCACGATTGTTATCTACACATGCTCTGTTTGCCGATGCTAACTGTGCGTCCGTATTTACGTCACTGTGAGAAATTCGCGAGACGGAAAGTTGCTCTTAGACGCGATAACGGATCTTTGAGGCAGGCATCGTACCACGTTTGCTGAGATTCTCATACGCGAGAACAGTCAACATCCGCGTGTTATGATGCAATTAATTTGTCCGTGTTTAATATCATTGATATAAAACCTCTAATATATATATATATATATATATATATGTATAAAATATTGACGATTTTTCCGAGTACAGATCGCGCTCATAAAAAAGAAAAGAAGCAAAGGCTAGTATTCAATTTGCTCATAACATTCGGAACACACTCTTGACAGGAAGTAGGCGTGTCGGCGGAAATTGTTCGGTATTTAGAGTCGATCGGTATTCAAAAGGATCGACCGTTTGAAAGACGAGTTAATTGCTATATAAATTAGTTTTCGGTCGATTGCGTGGAAAAAGAACGAAAGGAAAAGAATGAGAGAAATTGAAACAATCGCGTCGCCAATTGACTGTGTCGACGACGGTTTTACAATGTATTAAAGGGCTTCGGGCTTCGTCGCGTGACGAATGTCTTGTATAACAGGCATCGCTTTAGAAAATAGGCACAATAGGGTCGATCGAAGGGCTTCCATTCGAGGAAGCTTTACCGTTCGCGATACGGTCCAGCTTTCGGTAGGAAAGGTGGGCTCTATGAGGGTTTCACGCCCATTGTGGTGTCTTACAAGGGGACGGGCGAGCGTATATGCACACGTCGGATATATCTTTTATATTTTGGGAGATAACTGGAAGGCGCGAAATCTGAGATATCGTCAAGATACGGAAACCGAAAAAGGGAGGAGAGTGAGATGAGAGCAATTTTCGGCTTTGTTTAACGGCGGTACGAAGAAGAACTGCGCCTTACAGTTTGCTGCTCTTAATGAATCCCTGAAGGACCGTAAAATACGTTATAACACTCTCGTCGTTTCCCTTTATCTCTTTACCCGGGATTTTCGCGAGGATGTAGCATCACACTAACATAGAATTGCTCGAATTGCAAGAAAGTCAAAGTGCAGGAGCGAAATTTTATTACATTTTAAATCATCATAATTCAAGTATGCTGATTCTTAGGGATTTGCGAAATTGAATTACGCTTGATAGATTCCTATTGTTGATAATAATAAAAAAAGCGTCCAGCAAAGTCATACGTTAAACGTACAGCGCAATATTATCACACTATATATGTATAATATATGTATAGAGCTTTCGGTGGACAGCTTCGCGGAGAAAGATTTCCATTATTACGTGTAAAATAACGAAAACGCAAGAGTGGGGAAAAGAGGATGCGCGCTCGTCAAAGAGAAACAAGAGAGACGCGGGGAAATGGAAAAAGCGGTAAAAGACCGGTAAAAGAGAAAGGTTATTTTCTTTCCTTCTCTCTCACTCTCTACCAACCGATGGACCGGAGATTAGAGATATCCAATGTTTAGCGCTTATCAGTCGCTAAAAGTCCCGGGTCGTTTTGCTGTGCTGTGTTTTGGAGTGATGTGTTCGTTAATTAAAACACAAGCTAAAATGGCGCTTATTGAGTTTACCGCGTACTCGACGATATGCATGACAGATATTCAGTCATTTGTCCCCGACGTAGGTAACGCGTGAAAGTTATTTTAACATACATATACACAGAACGAAAGGGCGCAACCTCGTTAATATTGTCGCGATGCGGGCGTGATGACTTCACGCTAATTACTAACCGGGCTTAAGTCTGTCATAAATCTGCTTTTCGGGAAATTAATTTGCGAGGTCCTCGTGAAATTGCGTGAGCGTTTTGTCCGCAGAAATGTGTCATACGAAACTTTGACATTGACGCCGGACGTTAATGTAATCAGAAACGTGGACGTGCCGGCGCAAAAATACGACTACGTACACCGAATCCAGAAACTTCCTGGGGAAGGAAAAAGCTACATGGTGCTTTGCCCCTTAAAATTGAGAGTCCGCGATATATCACCGCGGTATAATCCGTTGCGCGCGTTGTATGTAAAAGAGATATCCTTCACGAGATATATGAATTCGTAAAGATCAGATTGGAAAAATAGAGAGATTTTCAGGACGCTTTGTCAGCGGGACACGCTGCATCCTTCTCGGATCCTCAGTCTGATACTCGCTAATGCTAATTAATAATTTCAGGTCTTCCTAACGAATTGAGCGTGTTCTGGCAGCAATATCCGTGGGCGCTGGGCGCGGGGCTCTGCAAGATCAGGGCGTACGTGTCGGAGATGTAAGAAATAATAACACCGTATCTGCTTCCTTTATGTCCCGTCGAGATTCGACACGCTCCTAAATCCGCCTCCGGGCATCGCTCCGCAGGTCGTCCTACGTGTCGGTTCTCACGATAGTGGCTTTCTCCATGGAGAGATATTTGGCCATATGTCATCCGCTGAGTGTCTATTCGATGAGCGGCCTCAAAAGACCCACTCGTTTCATTTTCGCGGCCTGGTCGATCGCAATAGTCTCGGCCATCCCGTTCGCGATTTACACGAAGGTCAATTTCGTCGAATATCCACCAGGTTAAGTCAGAGTTTATTTTATTTACGATTATCGATCTCGCGCAAATGAAAGTGTCCCTGGTAAATAGAATTCTTTTCGGAAACTTCGACGCTGCATCGGCCCTAAGCCGTTAAATCTCCTTTCGTTCTGAAATTATCCAATCTCACTGATTGATATCTGCTGTATGCGACTTGTTAGTTTTGTATATGCTACTATATAGAAAGTTCTCTGCATTATCATACTTGTATGTTATATATGTAACATCAGATATTGTTCAGGATCGGGCAATTATTCGGCCGATTCGGCGATTTGCGCGATGCTTCTGCCCGATATGCCAAACTTTCCACTTTACGAGCTCAGCTGTATCGTATTTTTCCTCATACCGATGCTCGTGATTCTGATTGTGTACACGAGGATGGGATTGAAAATCAGGAGTAGTACCAAAGATGCGCTCGGTCCGGTACAAGGCACCCTTCACGGCGAATACCGACAGATACAATCCAGGAAGTCTGTCATCAGGATGTTAAGTACGACACATTGTAATACTTTTTCTTTCTCGAGAAATTAATCATAATAAATTACGGCAAATAACTAAATATTAATCACTACTCAACATGTGAATCTAATGTTACACATTTGAAAGAGTCCAACCGAAATATATAGATTCTTATATATTTAATAGGTAAATATATTAATATTAAGGTAGACGGGTAAATATTAATATTAGTTAGATGGGATAAATATTAATATTAATGGCGATTTCCCCGATTTCCGGTGACGATACACAAGGTTGGCAAAGTCGGCGAGGTCGCTAATATTAATATTTATTCAACGACTAGTATCTGACTAAAAGACATTGTTTCCTGCGTTTCATAAATTTTCAACATTCCAGGATTAGCTGCACATTAAAATTTACCGCATGATCCATTTCAGGCGCGGTCGTGATCATGTTTTTCATTTGCTGGGCGCCATTTCATGCCCAGCGTCTGCTCTACGTGTACGCACAGGGATCCGATTATTATCCGGATTTAAACGAATGGCTGTACATTTTGAGCGGCTGCTTGTATTACTTCAGCACCACGGTCAATCCTATCCTCTACAATGTGATGAGCATGAAATATCGTCAGGCCTTCAAGCAAACGATATGCTGCGGAACGAGAAGGACTGGCGGAACCTCGATGGGTAAGGAACCTCGTCTGTGCAGATGCGATTCCTCGGGAGAAGCCCACGATCGAAGCCTTATGTGTTGCGTTAGGTATGGATGTCAAGTTTGAAATTTTAGAAACCGATGAAATTTGCTCCATTTAGCGAGATATCAGAGAGAACTGCGCGTGCAGATTGCTCGCGTCGAGATTGTTTCCCTTTCTCTAGATTACGGAGGCGTTGCGCGAATCGATACGATGTCGATATTGAATAATCGTTTGCCGATTCTAATGGAACGTACTCGCGTCAGACAATTGGTCCTTTTTTTGCGCCGAACGTTCTGTCCACATACATGTTATATTTTAACAATGTTATATTTTTCTTCTTTAGGCGTGCCATTACTCGTGCCAGAGAAGTATTTCGTTTCACGTCGAGCGGAGAGGAGAACGCTAAGAATAGAGGCAGGAATAACGTAAATACAGAGGATGCTCCTCTTCATAACGCTTACTTGTTACGAAAAGAGGATTTGTCGTCGGAGCCTCTCTTTGAACAGGGGCATTCTCTAGCTTACCAGCAACCTAGCAACGAAAGTACATCGTCCACAAAGAAATCGGACGATACCGTTTCTATAGCTATCAGCAGTCTGTGATTTATCCTCGTTCGCTTACAGTTCTTTCTTAACGGATCTATAGTTATTTATTACGTACAAAGAATTACAACGTACAAGGAATCTCACCCGGGCAAGTACGATTCCTCGGACGAGGCTCATGATTGAAGTTCCGCGTGTCCGATCAGACGTGAAATCTGTGTGATCCTGGAAACCGGTGATTGAAGATTTCAGGGTCCCGAATGCTCCATCAGGCAATTGTCTTTAGAGTCAAAAGCGACGTGAATAACCGTCGACAGTCGATATTATCGCTTAAGAAAGCCCGAAAGCGAAAGTTTTATACTACTTATTCCGGAATAAAGTTTTACACGTTTACACGGTTGGTATGTCCTCCTTCAGATTCGCGAGTTCGCGAAATGGTGAATACTCGAAATTTCGCAAATCGGTTAAATAATCATTTTCGCCGAAAGTCCGTTGTGATTATTTCCATACAAATCGTAACGTGTTTTAATAGAGTACATCGATACGGGCTGTGCTTTGATTGAAAGATAAATTTACAGTCATAATATGATATTTCATGGGAGCTTTTGATAAAAATTATCGTCAAGCTGCAGCTCTCGTTTCAGTAACGGTTTCATCATTCTGTGCGCCGTCGACTGATTTTCAACGTGTAACGTGTATATTCTGTATAAGGTGAAATATTATTCATATGAGCGAAGCCTTTGACAATGTTGTTACATCGTCGAGCGTATAATGTGAGATTAATGTTTTCTTGTCAAACAGAGCAAAAAAATTCAATTTCTTCTTTACCCCTTTGGCTTTGATATTTTAACGTGATTGTGCCGAACTTCGCACGAAATGCGAGGATATAACGAGACGTTAGCGGGAATTCCGTTAGCGGAAATTTCCCTCTGCCACGTCAAAGTGACGCATAGCCTATGCATTTATTCCATTTTAAATGAGATGCGTATTATATGCATAACGAGGGACACCTCTTCTCTCGTCCTCACGCCAATAATGGCCGTGGGGAATTCTCAACGTCACGCAATTAATTGCACACTCGCAGCTTCCAAATGGCACGGGCGACTCGCAAACGATGCTTCTGTGCTGAGAAATAACTTAAGATATAAAAAGCTTATAAACTTAGGATATAAAAAACTTTGTCCGCCCACTTTATCCACGTTCAATAACGAGGCCCGCTAGTCAAATGTAATTTACTCCAAAGTCAAGAAAATAGCATTTGCTTGATTTGCTTGAGAAATTTAGATTCCTATCGTGCTAAAATAAAAGGAAATGACTCGATTTATGAAGACAACACAATAGCTTATGTGTGAGGTAACGATTCTCCCGACCGTCGAAATTGCGTACCTATACCATCTATTCTTGTTACCGGTAAGTTACGTTGCTGTCTATAGACCAATTTCTACCTCGAGATCGATTACGATCATGCTGGGTTTCTTGTAGTCGGCGAAGCCAGCAATAAACGCATTTACTAGAATTGTCGGCTATTTCGTACGGTGTTAATTACGATTGTATCGTGAACTTTGCAGAAGCCTTCGCGTGATTCCATTTTTTCGGTGCAGGAGATCGTTAACGCATCGATCCGAAGCGCCGTCGAGTCTCTGACGTCAAGTCTTGCTTCTCATTCGTGTATGTTATTTACACACGCAATTGGACTGCGACTGGCATGTTTTTGCTTGTTACGAAACGAAAAGTATCGGAGAGTCCTTAATAAATGGGATAATCGGAATGTTCTTCTTCAAAGCAGCTCAATTTTCTCACGTGACATATTTTTGCCATTTCTGCTGCAGAAGGTGACATAGAAAATCTATTTCATCGGATATCCCGAAACCCCTATCATTTCGGCTGCGATGAGAATTTTAATACTCAAGCATCAAAAGCACCTTCCACGAGGCGTGGAAGCAAGGATAAATCGCAGAGCGAGATATTGGTTCCCAAGTCCTTCCTGTCCCCAAGTCTTGAGCTCTTCTCAAGCTTTACGGTCTCTTCTCCGTTTTGACGGTGTTGAACACGTTGCTGTAATTCCAACAAAAGTTCTCACTGATGTTTCAACAGAGATAATTTGCACGCAAAAGAAGAACCGATAATGAAGTTAATACAATAAAATTAATACAATTATATTATATAGATCTTTCTTTTTTTTTAAATGAACATTTTGAAAAAAAGACGAATTTAAAACTTTTAAAAGTATTATGCCAATTTGCATTTGGATACAGACCGAGGAAATTTTATAAGTTCTAAATATGTTCATCTCATTTGGATATGCATGGAAAATCTTTCATAGATCGTCCCTCTATCTTCACGCTTTCCACACTACCGCTCTGGTGAAGTTCACCAGAAAAATCCACCATTTTTTACCCCAAGGAGTAACTTTTCGGCTACGAGATTATAGAATTGCCCTATTATTACTGCTGCTGCCGCTTCCGTCGTCGCAGTTAAGCAGTTATCTGTTCGCAAGTTCACGCTCATAAAAGTATCAAGCGAAACATGCGATCGCTATCGATTCGACTATCACCGGGAAGGAACGAGGTTTATCTCTCTACATCAGACATCAGGATTTGTACCACACCGCACAGAGATGACATTCCATTCTTCGGTGACATTTGCAATATCCACCACATTTAACATTTGAATACATATAAACGTCTTACGCGCGGCTTCTCTTTCGTAGAATATGCAAGATGGTCGTGTCTGGAAAATGCTGCAATTGAGGGTACTTTGAGCGGTTACTACTCGTTAAACTTTTAACGACACCTTTAACGGTAAACGATCGACGAGGGTTAATTCCGAAGCTATAAAGTAGCTGGACATATTTGGTAAAAGCGGCAAACACTCATAAAACTTTCATCGTACATTAGCGCGCTACCGACTTAAACTCATTTCGAATTATTTCGCACAGATGTAATCACATAAAGAGAAAGGGGGAGAGAGAGAGAGAGAGAGAGAGAGAGAGGGGGGAGAGAGAGAGAGAGAGAGAGAGAGAGAGAAAGAGATTGGTAAGACTTAATAAGATTTAATATGTACATACGAAAGAGAAGAAGAGATTCACAAATGTTTAAGTAAGCATCGAAGTTACGCAATTATCATCGTTTAACATTGTAAATTATTTTCGTTCTAATCAAAATCTTCCGAAGAATCTCGTCCTGAACGTTTATCGTGTGCTTACGCGGAACACTCGTACAAGAGAGTCTTCTGAATTGGAGCGTCATGTTAATTCGAAGCGATGTTACGAAAGACGATTTCGCCGTAAAGGTTTTAAAGAGCCGGTACGATTCGTACGACAATCCAATTTAGCCAAGTCTCACCTCTTCATTCTGATCGATATTTGGAAGAGAAGTGCAAAATCACGAATGCAAATATTCAGTGTTAGCGTATTACGCGGAAAACGAAGTTAACGTACGTGCAAATTTATGCAATCGCGCGATTATGTGAGCAACTGGAATTAATTTATTCGGCTCGCTGTAATTCCGGCGCATGTTTGTCGCGCTTGCGATATCGAGCGGCTATTCGAGAGCAATTGCGGTCTCGCGGTCTCAAGATGTCCCGGTTCCTTAAAGGAATAAGCCCGATCATGGGGCGTTCTTCGTCTCGACAGTCCTCCAACAACGATTACGGAAACTGGGAAACAACAATTCGCGGCAGCTATGCAACGCATGCAAAAACTACGAGACGCAAGAAGCGACGGGGAGACCGGCGAGAAATTTAATCCACCGGAAATGCGGGGATACAACGGATGCAACCGTCCGTTACGGTTTATTCTGCGAATATTTTCTCAAATTTAGTTAGCTTCTCTTGCCACATTGCTAGCGGAGTATCACGCCGTCCGATTTTCTCGCCGAGGAATTAAAAGCGCTTAAGTAACTTTGCACGTTCAATTTCCGCACGAAATATTCGTGAATTTTGCGATCCGCCCCCTCGACGTTTCTCAAATGCTAATAGACTGTTGATCACTCACGAATCGAAGGTAATCATGATTTGCCGAGATCTTTGAAGAATAAGTTAAGCCAAGATGAGAAACGTTCGGCACGTTCTCCAAGAATGAGAAAGACTTTGAGACTGTGCAGAAATGTAGGACAGCTCGAGCTGAAGGGACAATTATATTTGCTTGATGCTAAAAGATAAAATTGGACAGGTAAAACGAGCCCTCGAAGATAAAATGATTTCTCGAACTTTCTTGAATAACTTCGAATATGTGAAATAATTGTTTCTGGAACGAGATCAATTTTCCTCTTTTATCCCTTTTTTCCCCACGAGAGAGATCTCGTCTTTAGCAATTATTCCCGCGCTATTTTATGGATGCCAGAAAATCAAATTACCGTTATCATCTCGTTCCATATTTGAAAATATTATAGAGAAATAAAAAAATAATCTCTCCTCTCTCCAGGAACTGTTTTATTCCACAAGTTCGTTCTTTAATGGCATAACATTGCATTGTCTCGCAAGATATCAGCTTTCCTTGAATTTCTGTCTGGCGAGATGTCTCGCATCAATTACTTTTGACGATTTGCGAACGCTCGCCTCATAGGCGATGATATTCAAGGCGACGCGGATATGACACAACAGATAATTACTTATTCTTGCACGTCATGAGTAATCGCTGCTCGAGAGCCCTAGTAATAATGCCGCTGTCAACAGTTGTGTACGTGCGTTTAATACGTGTGATAGCATCAGATATTTCGAGATAATACGAAAAACGCATTACTATGCAGATGTCGACGCAGATGCGAACGTGAAAAAAGAAACGGCCATGGTTGCTTTAGAGTCTGCTGTGAATAAAATAGGGCATTCCTTGACTTACCGCGACAGCTGATCTCTCCTAGATATAATGCGAGTCTCGTTACCTCCTGTCACTCTTCCTTCAGGTCTTGGAATCTCTTCCGTCCGCCCGGGAAGAAAGGATACAATGTCATAAAAATTTAATAAATCTGAAATCAAATGAATTTTCTTTTTTTTCTCTCTCTTTAATTCCGTCCCTGTTGTCTAGTTATTTGTGAAAGATAACGCGCGCAATCCCAAAAGATGACTAATGAAGTTTGTGGTGGACAAAGAAGTTGACGTAATGGCGTGTTCACGAACCCGTCATAAATTAGCGCGTGTATAATCGTCGTTATTCGCGATTTCAATTATGGCAGAGACTGGTCAAACGAAATGTAATTTCCTGGGGAGCACGTATAATCGTGACGTATAATCCGATTAATTTCTACTTTAGCAAATGCCTGCTATAATGTGCACGAAGGTACCTGCTTTTGAATCCTCCGTTATCGTCGGAAAGTAATTTTCGCGGTTAGTAGGAGAAATCACGAGCGGGAGATCCAGTTAAAAAAAAAAAAAGGAAAACTTTCCGTCGGGTTAATCAACTTTCAAAGTTGTATCAACTAGCTGCGGAAACGATGCATACAAAACGAAGGTTAACACGCAGCCCGTTGCGTTATCTCTCTTTGTTTCTTTTGGACGGAATTGAGCGGTGTTTTGTTTCTCTCTTTCTCGTTAGGCGCGACATGCGACGCATTTCAGATTACCAGATTACGAGATTTGGGCGACACGTTAAATTCTTCTCGCGTGTCAAAGAGCACAAAATGTAATCTCCATGTTACAGTATGCGCAGGGAATATAATTCGAGCGACGCTTCCTCCTCAGTCGCGTGTATCGAAATGTGACGCTAGCGATTTCGGCCGGCGCGATGAAATGACAGATTTGATTCTTGAGGAACTTCTCGTGCGCCTAAAGGAATTGGCGGTTCTCATTGTGGTGGAACCCCTTTGGGCAATCGTGAGATGCCTATCGACGACAGTAATTGCGCAGTTGACGGGGGCGAAGTCCTTACGATGGGTAAGAACACGCTTGATTAATAACGAAACGATCCGGCCGAAACGGCATGCTTGATCGATCCCGTTTTTTCTTTGCAGACGAAACGCTTTTTTTAGTATTACGCGTAGAGCCTGCTAAGCGGCATGAATAAGGACAAAAATGAAGAAACGTTAGCCCGACACTTTTCGTAATATCGTTAGAGCGGTAAGCGTTAATTATACCAACACGATAAAATGGAGCGCGTGAACGGCCCCGGCGAGAGAGTTATCGTAATTGCTCGCATTATAGTGCTTAACGATTCCCGTTTTTGCCCGCATTCATCCACTGCTACGTGTTAATACGCGCGCGTATTGTGAATTAATCTGTAGAAGAAAGAGATCGTGAGAATGCGCGAACAGACGAAGTTTATCGTCGTGATACTGCAATCACGACGATAAACTGATAAACGACGACGTTAGATGAATAATCGTCGAATAGATCCGTTGGTTTATAGAATTTCGAAACAAACAGTGTGTCTCGTGCCTGTCAGCAGATCGATTCTAAAATTTGTCAGCACGGCACGCAGGTGATGTCCAATTGTGAGAGGAAATTTTTCACGAGAGTATATCTAGAATGCAATCATGATGTATAGGAGCGCTCTCTCTCTCTCTCTCTCTCTCTCTCTCTCCCGGTCTCGCTCGGCTCGCAGATTAAAATACGCATTGTATTCTATCGATCGTTAGAGTTATATGAATGT